TGACTTCTTGTGGTAACATCTTGTGGAAACTAGCTTAGTATACGACGACGACGATTTGAAGGGCCTACGGTGCGAAAAATGATTTTATGTTGCGCGGTGCTAAAATTCCTACGAAACCCAATGGTTTTTGAAGATTTCGGCGTGCGCACGGAAAGAAAAAACGAATGTGTCCCGCATGGTATTATTTGACAGGGATGATGGCCCTGGCAGGTGCGCAACCGTTGTTGGAGAAGTTCGAAGCACGTGAAGAAGTTGATCGCAAAAGCCCGTTTGACAGAAATGTTTAAAAAAGTTGGGTTTCCTGCAAATCCGCAAGAGCGCGCGGGATGAAATTGTGACACTTTAAAAAAAAAAAAAAAAAAAAAAAAAACATTGGTTGTTTGATGTTTTTATGTTGAAATCGCTACGAACACTAAGGTTTTGGAAGGATTTCGTCTTGCGCGCGCGAATGTCCACTTTACCTTATTTTTTGCAAGGGATTCTTGAAATTTGATTATATTAGAACAAGAAATTTCATTTTATAGTGTTTTTTGCAAGGGAAAGCGGGGGGGAACAAAACAACCGGATCTTGATGACATCGTATTACCTGAGGCTTCCTCACGAAAATGATGAAAATGTAGCTGCGGCCTAGGCGGCGCAGGGGGGCCGTGCACCAGGGGTCCCAACAATAATTATTCTTTAGAATTAATAATGTTCAACAACAACAACAACAACAACAACAACAACAACAACAACAACAAAACGAGCCCCGCTCGGAAAGGATGCGGGGAGAGTGGACAGTAGTATTCACATTGAGTAGCTGTGGAAGGAGGGGTGATGGGAGAGAAGAGGAGCAGAGGAGGGAGGGGCAGGGTAAGTAAGGCAGGGAGTGAGGAAACCAGAAGGAGGAGGGCAGAGCGAGGGCAAGGAGGAGAGAGAGATGTAGAGAGCCATCATGCCCTGTCCATTCAATCTTCTACACTGGCCTCGCATTATTCGTTCGCGCTTTGCCTGAGTAGGCTCCATGCTTTCTTCTTGTTTCCGGTAGAGAGCTCCATCTCCGTGGCTTAAGCTTGCCCAGGGAAAAAAAGAGACAGAAAGGACTCCGCCGCGAAAGGTGAGGTAATCGTCATGCATCCAAGGCAGGCCTGGCCCTCTGCAGGGAACTGCATGCAGACCCTGCCCCTGCAGGTCGGATCGCTGAACAGTCGGCCAGGGCTCAGAGCTCGAAGGATGTCTACAGCCTAGCGGCACCCGAAGGGGGCGGGAGTTCGTCCCCCCCTCCCCCACCGATCACAGTCACATTACGGCGAGGGGCCGCCGGAAATCGCAGGACATCCCCGAAGAAGCCGTGGGAAGTCTTGGCACATGCGTGAAGTGCTCGGGGTGGGGGAAGGAGAGGGTCGACCACGGCCGGCATCGCCCAGACCTTAAGACGACAGGCTCCGACTGGGTCCGATCCCCCCGCGTCGACTGGACCGGCAGGGGCAGTGCGTCCAAACGATTGAACAACAGATCGGGCAGGGGCGCGCAAACAATTAGCTTCAGGTCGGGCCCGTCCCCCTACAGGCCGATGTTGGACGAAAAATTCAAAACAGGCAGGGGCAGTGCGTCCAAACGATTGAACAACAGATCGGGCAGGGGAGCGAAAACAATTTGCTCTAGGTCGGGCCTGTCCCCCTACAGGCCGATGTGGGACGAAAAATTCAAAATACCCTGATTATATTCAAAAAATACAAATGCTCAAAGAATCGTCCCCATGCTACTTTCTGACTATTTTTGAAGGTCCCCCCTGTAGAGGGACAGGCCCGACTTAAAACTGGCTGCTCCTCGTGTGGGCCGCCGGCTGCGGCCGGGCGGCCTGAGGGGGGCAGCGGCGAGGACAGCGAGCCAGGCATGCCTCGAGGGTCGCCCTCTCCACGGTGGGGCGCTGCGGCCCCGCACGGGCACGTCTTGATCGCTTGGTCGCACTGGGGCTAAGTCGGGCGCGTCCCCCTGCAGGCCGATTTTGGACTCAAAGTAAAGAATACTACGCCCCCAACATGCTCAAAAAACTACACACAAAAATCGTCCCCTGACGATTGGTTGCCTATTTTTGAATACCCCCCCCTGTAAGAGGGACACGCCCGACTTAACACTAGGGTTCGCAAGTGGCCGCAGGCTTTGGCCACCCGAAGACGGGGCTCCTCAGGACGGTGATCGTGATCGGCTTCCCGGAGGCCTTCCCCTCCTGCGCAAGCTGCCCGAGCAGCTCGGGATCGCACGAGCCCTTGTCGCCGACGCTCTGCGGGCCGCACACCGTCGGCGGAGGGGCACGGCAAGACGCGAGACTGCTCAACTGACGAACGACAGCACACACAAACACACACACACACACACACACGCACGCACGCACACGCACACGCACACGCACACGCACACGCACACGCACACGCACACTCACACTCACACACACACACACACACACACACACACACACACACACACAAACACACACACACACACACATACACACACATACACACACGCACGCGCACATACGCACACATGCCAGAAGGGAGGACGGAGGGGGCGATGCATACACACTGTCGGATGGGGGTCCGCGCTCGAACGGGAGCCCCCATCGGACTCTGACAACCCGCACCCATACCCACAGCCAGTCCTCCTCCCTCCGACTCCCCTGTAGATATGGGTGCGTGTGTGCTGTTCCGTCGTCACCAACCAATGCTGATTCCGAGTCTACAATCAAAAACCCTATTAAGGACGCGCGGTAAGGACGCAAGACCCTTGGAAGCCGAAGTTGTGATTTTGGGGACGGCGGACGACGAAACCTCAAGGACGCAAGAGCAGGGAAGAGCAAGGACGCAAGGGTACCCTGAGCAAAGTCGCGCGTCCTTATTAGGGTTTTTGATTGTAGCCTCGACGGCGGGCCGTGGGGGGACGTGAGAGGGGGCAGGCCTTCTCAGAAGGCGGCGGGGATTCTGAAAGCCCACCGTTCTCCTGAGAAGCCCTCGGTGGCCTCGGGGAAAGCTTCGAAGGCTGCCCCACCCACCAGACCACCCGACCCAACCCGAGGACCCGAATTTCGGGTTGGGTGGGTACGGATTCCACATGTGTTGTCTCAATGTTCCCCGACCCCCCCCCAACTGGAACTGGAGGGCACATTGAGGCCTTCGGGCTGGGTTGGGGTGGTTTGGTGGGTGGTGAATGGCGGGCGAGGGCCAGGGAGGCCAAGAGCGACACCAGACGAGATCGGTCAGAGAGCGATGCACCCACGCGGGGGCGAGACACATTGGGGGGCAACGATAGGGGGGGACCGGCATAGGAGGGGATGCATCGCCCTGGAGTCGGCAATACACCGCCGATAGATCGGCGATGGGCCACCGATAGTGAATCCGCACCTTCCTGGGCAGGTTGGAACTATTGGGCCCCTGTCGGCGATCAATGGGCGATTGGGGATCGATGCATCCCCCCCTATGCCCATCTCCTTCCCGTTGCCCCCGACACACGGAGACAAAAGTGAAACGGAACCGAGTGCTGCAGCAGGCTTGGAGACAGTCGATCGAATGGACGTCATTGGCCTACGGACAGCTTCCACTGCAAGAGTCTGGGGGCGTCTGTGCGCACCGGCTGCTGCCGCGAAGTCCCTGCAATCCAAGGATGCTGCCGAAGATTCCGCTGGCGGACCCTGGCCAAGATATTGGCCGACAGAGTACGGCGTGCTGAAGAGCGCACGGGATCAAGCCACGCATATGACGACGACGACGACGACGACGACGAGGACGAGGACGACGACGACGACCACGACGACGACGACGACGACGACGACGACGACGACGACGACGACGACGACGACGGCCAGGGCGGGGAGATCACGTGAATAGTCGAGTCGAACACGAAGGGGTTCTAAAGGATCAAGCTGAGATGAGGACGACGTTGTGACGGGATGGAAGGGCCCAGATACCACACATCCTGGGAGATTGGAGTCCGTATAGGGCACCATCTATTCGGAAGAGATGCGCTAGAAGAAAGTTGTTCCCCGGAAGGTCGCGGTCAGGATGATAATCGTAATTGTCGAAGGCAGAGATAACAAAATCCAACAGTTCGTCATGCATTTGCATCAAACGGGCCACAAGCGGACATCGCGGTCAGCCTCACGCCAGCAGCGCCGCAACGTCAGTACTGAAACAAGTTACCACTATGAGAGATCATCTTGTTTGCAGCACTGACTTGTCATGACCTGTCTGGAGTTCGGCAATCCAGGCCGTCATCCGCCGACCCCCGCCTGTATGGGTGAACAAGCGTGTGAAACACTTGGCTGTCCCCACCCCCTTTCCCCTTTCCCACTCACATGGGGCCCACAATCCTGTTAGGGGGAGCGGAGGGGGAGAGCTCCCCAACGCACCTCCAAGTCCACGCACAATCGAAAGCAACGTGGAAACGACACATCGTACATCGCTGCCATGTACAGGAAAATAGACGGCATGGCATGTGAGGTGGCGGAAAGAAGGACGGGCATCTTTTCCCTCCCCGATAGCACCAGCAAGCGCGATGGTAGTCATATTGGGAGCGCGTGCCTGGACCAAACGGTAGCTGAACGCGCCGACGCCCCTCCCCCCCCAATCCCGAGGACCTCCCTAAAGTCGGCGAGGGTGTCGGGGGGGGGAGGGGGGCGGGCAGCGCTACGCTCTGCCGCTGTGGAAAGCTGAAGTGCGCCCACCACTGGCGGGCGCACCTCAGCTTCCTCCTCCTCTTCCTCCTCCTCCTCCTCCTCCTCCTCCCTTCCTCCTGCTCCCTTCCTCCCTTCCTCCCTTCCTCCCTTCCTCCCTTCCTCCCTTCCTCCCTTCCTCCCTTCCTCCCTTCCTCCCTTCCTCCCTTCCTCCCTTCCTCCCTTCCTCCCTTCCTCCCTTCCTCCCTTCCTCCCTTCCTCCCTTCCTCCCTTCCTCCCTTCCTCCCTTCCTCCCTTCCTCCCTTCCTCCCTTCCTCCCTTCCTCCCTTCCTCCCTTCCTCCCTTCCTCCCTTCCTCCCTTCCTCCCTTCCTCCCTTCCTCCCTTCCTCCCTTCCTCCCTTCCTCCCTTCCTCCCTTCCTCCCTTCATCCTTCCTCTCCCTCCTCCTCTCCCCCCTCCTCCCCTCCTCTCCTCCTCCTCCTCCTCCTCCTCCTCCTCCTCTCCACTCCTCCCTCCGCCTCCTCATCCTCGCTCCTCCTCTCTCCGCCTCCGCTCCGCCTCGCCTCCTCCGCCTCCTCCGCCTCCGCCTCCGCCTCCTCCTCCTCCTCCCCTCATCCTCCTCCTCCTCCCCTCCTCTCTCCTCCTGTCCTCCTCCTCCTCCTCCTCCTCCTCCTCCCCTCCTCCTCCTCCTCCGCCTCCTCCTCCTCCTCCTCCTCCTCCCTCCCTCCTCCCCTCCTCCCCCTCCTCTTCCTCCGCCTCCTTCCTCTCTCCTCCCTCCTCCTCCTCCTCCTCCTCCCCTTCTTCCCTCCTTTTACGCCTCTCCCTCCCCCTCCTCCTCCTCTCCCCTCCCCCCCCCCTCCCCTCCCCTCCCTCCCGCTCACCCCTCCCTCCCTCCCTCCCTCCCTCCTCCGCGGTCGTTTTTTGCTTCTCCATTCGATCCGCGCGCCCCGCGCCCAGGACGCCCTGCCGATTCCGAGTCTCGCGCCCGCGCCCGCTGGCGCTGCCGATCAAAAAGGGGTGAGCCAGCATGGGGTTCGGAGTGGCCGCACGGTTTTGGGAGTCGAGTCTGTCTTCAATTATGGTTTGGGCGACTGGTTTCCGAGGTTCCGAGAGGTCACCACACTTTCTGCCACCGCACCGCATCGGGATCCCCAACTGAGGCTCCCCCCCCGCTGCCAGCAGGTGCCAGCATCAGGGCGACGAGATCCATGCACATCCACCGCCTTTAGCCATGCCCATCCTGGACCCAGATGCACGCCCCCCTGGCCAAGCCAGGAGGGCGTGTACACCGCTCCTGGGCTCTGGATGGACCTGGCCAGTTGGTGGTGAATATGTATAGACTGCCGCCAAACTTGGCAGGCCAGGGACGGGTTGGTGCGCCCAGCTTTGCCTGGCAGGGACGGGTCGCGGGTCAGACGGCGCCCCTCGCGGCGACGGCGGCCACGCGCCCAGGCGGGAGGTCGCCGGCGCCCAGGGCGCTCGCGCTCTTCGGAGAGCGGCTCCCTTGGACATCCTGCTTCTGAGCCCTCCGCGCGGCAGGCGCCGCCACTGCGCGGCTGCGGCCGTGGCCACGACGGCGGCCACTGCAGCGGCCGCCACGCGCGGCTCTGCCGCGCGGAGAGTGCGGAGGCTGGAGGTCGAGGGTCCCAGCTGCTGTCGGGGCGCAGCCGACGGCCCCCCAAGGCTTCCACGGGCCTCTGAACTCATCCGAAGGCCTCGGCTCCGCGCTCGTCGCCCGCCCCGCGCGTCTCGATCAAGCCGGGCTCCCGCGCAGTCGCAGGCAGCGCGCCTGGCGAGGTGTTCGTGCTCGAGAACGGGTCGTCCCGGCTCTGGCGGCTGAGGCTCGCCCCGGCGGGCGCTGGCGTCGAGGCCACGATGGAGGAGCTGACGTCCAGGATCGCGGGGGCAGCTGCACAGGTGCGGCTGATACTTGCCCTGAAGATCCGACATGGGTTCGGAAAGAACGGGGACGAAGGCCGGCAGCAAGTTCTGCCCACTTTGAGCAGGACTCGCTCTTGGTATCGCCGCGAACGCCGTCTCTTCGCGACGAGAGGAAAGCGCCTGCCCAGCATCGGGCAAACGTAAGACTCGAGCACGCCGGAACTAGGGTTTACCAACGCTTTTTGACGATCGCGTCCCAGATTTTGACGGTCCGGTTCTTGTGGGATGTTTGCAGCGGGAGCTCGCGTCAAATTTCAGATTGGGTCTCGTCATGTTCAGGAAGGTCCCGTCAGGCCAAGCCGAGTCCCCGGAACCCGAGTCTTGCGTCTCCCCGACAGCAGCGGTTGCTGTCAGCGTGGGACAGCATTTGCTGTTGGGCATCGTCCGCAAGGCCACACGCAAGGGCGCGAAGGCAGTCGCGCCCTCTCCGGTCTGGGCCAGAGCAGCCTTCGGGGGGGCGGCGACGGCCCAAGAGCGCGAAGAGGACTCTTCCTCCTCCTCCTCCTCCTCCTCCTCCTCCTCCTCCTCCTCCTCCTCCCTCCTCCTCCTCCTCCTCCTCCTCCTCCTCTCCTCCTCCTCCTCCTCCTCCTCTCCCTCCTCCTCCTCCTCCTCCCTCCTCCTCGTTTTCCTCCTCCTCCTCCTCCTCCTCCTCCTCCTCCTCCTCCTCCTCCTCCTCTGCCTCCTCTCCGCCTCCTCCTCCTCCTCCTCCTCCTCCTCCTCCTCCTCCTCCTCCTCCTCCTCCTCCTCATCATCATCATCCTCCTCCTCATCATCATCATCATCATCCTCCATTCCTTTTCCTTATAAATAATTTATTCCTGTCGCACCCCGAGGCCAGTTTTTAGGGCGGGCCGGGCGTTTCGCCTGCGACTCCCACACCATGTATGATTCTGAAGCTTAAGAATCGGAAACAGTTTCACAGATGCAGGCGGGTCGTTTTCAAAATGTGGTTCTTGCTTTAGCGCAGCGCACATTCGTTCTAACAAATTGCCAGAGTTTCACGGATTGACGGCGGGTCGTTTTCGAAATGTGGTCTTCGCCCTAGCGCGGCGCACATTCGTTTTATACAATTTCAAGAATTTCACGGGTGGAGGGCGGGTCGTTTTCAAAATGTGGTTCTCGCCTTAGCGCGGCGCACATTCGTTTTATACAATTTCAAGAGTTTCACGGATTGAGGGCGGGTCCTTTTCCACATGTGGTTCTCGCCTTGGCGCCGCGTACGCTCGTTTACACAATTTGCAAGAGTTTCACGGATCCACATCATCAACGTACTAGAAATAGTGTTTTGGAAGGGTTCAGGCTTATGCGGGTGCAACTGTTCCGTTGGTTCTCTGTGCTGAAGTCCTAGGAATGGCGTTCTGGCACGATTCAGGATCGTCAAGACGCAACAGTGAGGTTGATCCATGGCGTTGGCATCCCGAGAACGATGTTTTGGCATACTTCAGGGTCTTCAAACGGGTGTCTTCCAACGAGGCAGTTCCATCAACGGAAATGAACCCTTGTAGGGGCCTGTGAAGAGGGAGCTTGGAGGGGGGGCATTTCAACATCGTTGATGACTCTTGGGTTTACACTGGTCCTTCTCCTCCCCCTCCTCATCCTGATCCTCGTCCTCGTCATCTTGCTCAACCTTGCCCTTGAAACGCCACAGGCGAGGAGGGCACAGCGCACCCCGTCCCCACGGCACGAAGCGCGAAGTCGATCGACTTCGGAGCTGCAGGCCAGGGCGGCCGACCTTCCTCTCGGCCTCACGGGTAGGCGCGACGTGGAGGCGATACGGCCGGCATGTGGCAAAGTAGTCAGGAGAACGAGCAGCGATCGCGGAGTCGAGTCTGGTTTTCCGCACATCGTTGGCAAGAGGTGGAGGAGGAGGGGGAGGAGGAGGAGGAGGAGGAGGAGGAGGAGGATCAGGAGGAGGAGGAGGAGGGAGAGGAGGAGAAGGAGGAGGAGGATGAGAATGAGGGGGAGGAGGAGGAGGAAGAGGTGGAGGAGGAGGAGGAAGAGGAGTAGGAGGAGGAGAAGGAGGAGAGTAAACCCAAGATGCATCAACGATGCTACACCCTCCCGTCCCAAGTCCCTTCCTCACAGAACCCTATAAAGTTTCTTGTTCAATGCATGCAGCGCCCCCTTGAAAGAACACCACCCTATGGATCTGCCATTCAGGCAGGAGGCCCGTTTTTTAGAAGTCGCCTTGCCTTTTTTTTTGCGAACAGTACAGGCGCACTTATATCATGATTAGAAATTCAACGAGGTGTACAGCGAGATCCTCTTCTGACAAGACTGCCCCGTTTGTGAACGGATCCCAATTTCGAAAAAAACAACCGCTCTCCATCCGTGCAGGTGTTACATGTGTTCCAGCGTCTGGATGTTCAGCTTAAGGGAGCACCAAGCAAAAGCCCCACTGTAAAAAGGAACCGATATTCACCCGAATAACTGTCGCAGACGTTTGAGACGAATGTGCGCAGCGCCAGGCGAGAGCCCAATTTCGAATCAAAACGCCATCCGCCCTCCATCTTTAAGAGTATTACAACATCCAAAGGCGAATGCGCACGGCACTTAAACCAGAACCCCATGTAAAAAAAACGCCGTCCATCTTATATGCACGGCGCCATGGCGAGATACCAGTTTTGAAGAAGAGCAGCCTTCCACCTTTGAAAGTGGTGCCACACTTCGAGACGAACGCGCTCGCGCGAAGGTGAGAGCGTCATTGCTAAAAAAGAGCCACGTTTCAGACGAATGCGCGCGCGGCGCGAGCCCAATGTTGCAATCGACCCCCCCCTCCTCCACCCTTGAAGCTGCTGCATGTCCTAGGACGGACTTGCGCCGCACTTGCGCGGCGCTGGGGCGAGCGCCCCATCTTGAAGACGACCCGTGCTCCATCTTCGCAACGGCCGTGAAGGTTTGAGGCGAGTGGGTGCGGCGCCACGGCGAGAGCCCCCATTGTGAGAACCACCTCCCCCCCATCCCTGAGGCAGTCACAGATATTGTAATGGCCTCCGGCCAGTGCCGCCGATCCGGGGGGCTCCAGATTCGGTGATCTTCGCGGCTCTGTGGCCTCCTCCCTCCTCGATATGCGCAAAGCATTAAGCAAACGCCAGATGGGGGACCGCCCCCCCCCTCCCTCCCCCCCTTCCCCGGGGAGGGTCCGGGGAGGGTTCCGAGGGGCCCTCCATCCCTGATGCAGCCACAGATATTCAAGTTCCGGGATCACAGATGATCAGGAGGTCTCGGGCGAAACGCCGGGCCCGCCCTGCCGACACGCCTCGGGGGGGCGACAGGGAGAAGTTACCTATCAGGGAGGAGGATGGAGGTCGAGGAGGTCGAGGTGAGGAGGAGGAAGGAGGACGAGGAGGAGGAGGAGGAGGAGTTACCTATAAGGGAAGAGGATGGAGGAAGAGGAGGAGGAGGAGGACCTCGAGGAACAACTGGAGGAAAAAGGAGAAGGGGTTGGACGGCGGCCAGCGCAGCCGCAGGGGCCTCGGCTCGTGGCGGCCCGGCGCGCCCGCAGCGTCGGCGACGGGGGCAGGAGCAGAAGCGGGAGGAGCAGCAGCAACAGATTGGCCTTGGGACTCCGCCCCCGCCCGAGCCCACCCCGCCGACCAGAGTTCTCTGGAGGGGGGGGGGGGCCCGTCGGAGGCCCGAGCCGCGGCAGCGAGGGCGTCCTTTCGGAGGTCTTTGGGCGATCCTGGAAGTGCTCGTCGCCACGAGTGGACGTGGCCCAGAAGACCGGCCAGGATGGGTCCCTGGGCAGGGTCCGCGGGGACCCGCTCTCAGCGGGCTTTGACCGATGGCTGCTCCAGAGAGGGCCTCCGCCTTGAAGGAGGCAGGCGGAGCGCTTCCGCGCGCGCCTCCACCCTCGACCCCTCCACCCTCCCTGAGATCCGACGTTGCGACAAAAATGCAACCTTGCAAGAGATCAGGACCAGACTCTTGCGTGATCCCCATCTTTCGACGTTGCAGACTTGCAACATTGCAACAGAAGACAAAAAGATCTGCGTCAGCTCTCGACCCGGATCGGGCTTTGAGAGTCCAGGGGCCCGACAGTAGGCGAAAACGCCCACGGTGACAAAAAACGCCGGGCCAGGATCTGCGAGCTCCACGCCTCCAAGCCCCCGCGCTGAGGAGTGAGGCGGAGCGCTTCCGCGCCTCGCTCGGCTCTCGGGTGGTGGCCCTGGGCGGTTCCGTGCTCGTCGCCGGCACGCCGGGGGCGGGCGCGCACACGCCGTGGCTGTTCGACTTGGCGCGGGGATCGTGGGCGAGGCTGCCCGAGGCGCCGCACCCGATCCTGTCCAGCGCGGTGATCGCTTCCGAGGACTTGGTTCCCTGTCTCGCCCTCCCACTGACGATCGCGGCTCGCTCCTCGCGAGCCCGTGCTGCAGGCGGAGGGAAGGAGGGAGCCAATTGTGGAATCTGTGAGACAAGGAGAAAGAGGGGCCCAGACGTGCTCGAGGCCTCCTAGATGGGGTCCGAGTAGATCGGGATCGGCGGATCGCGCCGCATCGCCATCGGCGATGCATCGGCGATGCATCGGCGATGCAGCGGCGACGCTCGCGTGGAGAAGATCGGGCCCCACATCGAGCCTCATCGCCGATGCATCGGCGATGCGGCACGATCCTACGACCCCATCTGATCCGGCCACATCTGGAAGACTAAAGAGGGGCCCAGACATGCTCGAGTCGTGAAAAAAAAAACATGACGTACGCGAGCTTGGGGTCGCTCTCGGCCTCAAGATGCCCCCGCCTTCCCCGGGGGGGGGCGTCGAAAACCGACTCGGCATGAAAAATCGGCCCTGGGGGAAGGAGATCCACGGTCGGGGAGTGGTGCAGAGTGGTAAGACGAGGCAGGAGCACGACGACTGGGGGAAGAGGGGGAGAGAGAAGGAGGAGGAGGAGGAGGAGGAGGAGGAGGAAGAGGAGGAGAAGGAGGAGAAGGAGGAGAAGGAGGAGGTCGACGAAGAGGAGAAGGAGGAGGAGGAAGAGAGGAGGAGGAGGAAGAGGAGGAGGAGAAGCAGCAGCAAAGGGGAAGGAAACGGAACCAGGAACAGCAACAGAAGAGTCGTTACCTTCGCTCATTCCGTCTTTCTGTTGAACCTTCACGCGTGTGCCGCGGCACGCGTTGGGCTCAAAACGATCGTCAGGATAGGACGCAGCTGGCGTCTTCGCGGACAAATGTGTGCGCGCGCCTCTCTCTCTCTTTCTGTCTCTCTCTCTCTCTCTCCCTCTTTCTCTCTCACTCTCTCTAGCGCGGCGTATCACTGTCCGCTTTCACATCTACTTAGCAGAACACTACAATCATGTCGGACGACATCGTTAAAGACCCATCCATCTACAAGATCCATACGATAGGATTTCCAAGGTTTGAATAGCGTAGCAAGGGAGACGCTCATTCATCAGGGGATGTGGAGTATCTGACGCAAGACCGGCTCTCAACCGAAAGTATGAAGGATGAAAAAGTTGACGTAGTGCGTCATGGCGATCACCACTGGAGCACCATCACGAAGAGTCCGAATAATTGTCGTGAGAGTGTACATGGTAAAGAATCGCTCGGTGATTTGTCCGAGAACACGAACTGAGGGCGTGGAAGCATCTAATATGTCCATTCCTCCAGGGAGGAAGAATCATGGACTCGAGGAAGCCTCCAGTGGAGCAGAGTCTCCTCGGCAATCAGAACAGGGGTCGGAAGTATCCGTTATCTCCCGCTATGTGCCGGGGGGGTCTAGCAAGAATCGTGCCAGAACAGAAATGGAAATCCTTCGAGCGGAAATTGGGGCCTTGTCGTCGGCAGATGGCTTGAGGACCTCGCTTGGAGCGTATGTAATGACGTATGGGACGGAGATCCCAGTTGCCCACAATGTTGAGGTCGGAGATGTATTTTCCGAAGTCGCCGGAGCTGATTCTTGGGCTTACGCCACACCGCCGACCCCTTGATGTACATTGTCCCCCCTCTTGCAGCCGTCTTTGGAGCCTCTTGAAGGTGTCCTGGTATGTCTGTCAGGGGCCTTCTCGGAGCACTCTTGAAGTCTCTTGGGGGCCGTTCTGGGGTCTCTTGGGGTCTATTGTGGGCCTCTCGGGGGTTGTTGGGGCTTATTTGTGGCTTCTTGGGGGCCTCTTGGATCCTTTTGGGGGCTTCTTGGGGCCGAGGGTTCGAAATTTGCCTTGGGATGGTTTGGCAGGGTCCACTTTTGCAGTTGTCTTGGGGGCGTCTGAGGCTGTCTTGGAGGCCTCTTGAGTTGTCTTGGGGGTTTCCTTGGACGTCACGGGGGTCGTTTTAGGGGCTTCCTGGGTATTTTGGGACGATCTTGGGGCGTCTCGGGCCGTCTCGGAGCGTCGTGGAGCCGAAAACGTGAGAATTTCCGATATCTAAAAAAACAATGGAAAAGTGTTGACTTTTGCCTCTTTGGACTTTCTTGTGAGGCCTGTTGGCGGCCACTTTGGGTGTCTTAGCGGCCTCTTCGGCTGTCCGGGGGTCATCTTTGAGAGTCTCGCAGCAAGCTTCTGGCGCTCGGGGCCTTCTTGGACCCCCGGCGGAGCCGCCGGTTCCTCCCGGCCGTCCTCTCTCCCTCCTAATTGACCCGACCGGTCTTCGGGGGGGGGGGTTTGGTGAGGGGGAAGTCTCTCACACGCCGATGATCTCCAAGAGGTCTGCGGATGTCGTTTCGATTGACGGAAGATCGGGCCGTCGAGCCGCGGTCCGTCTGCCGCGTCGGCGGGCGGCGCGGGCGCCAGTGGGTGAGAGAGTCGCGCTGGCGCTCGCAGTAGCAGCAGGGTCCGTTGTCACCTTGGGCCAAGCCGGCTCAGGAGCGCTCGCCTGGAGAACCCGTTACGTAGCAACTTCGGGGGATCTTGTCCGCTTTTCCTCCCGTCCTCCCCCCCGCCCTCCTCCCTCCTCCTCCGTCCCCTCCTTCTTTTCATCCTCCCCCTCCTCCTCCTCCTTCTCCTCCTCCTCCTTCTCCTCCTCCTCCTCCTCCTCCTCCTCCTTCACCTCTTCCTACTCCTCCTCCTTCTCCTCCTCCTCCTCCTCCTTCTCCCCCCCCTCCTCCTTCCGAAGATTGCCCCCGGACCCCGAGAACGATGCAGAGCCTCGCTCCTCGGATCCCCCCCCCCTGCAGGCCGGGTCGACGACGACGACGACGACGACGACGACGACGGCGGCGGCGGCGGTGGTGGCGGCGGCGGCGGCGGCGGAGGCGACGACGACGACGACGACGACGACGACGAGGATCCCAGGGTGCAGCGTAACGTCTGGGCCAGCCGCGGTCGCCGCGCCGCGCCGGGCTCAAGTCTCCTCCTCTCGGCGCCGCATCCGCCGCCAGCCGCACCCCCCCCCGGCGGTACCGCTCCGCAGGACCCAGGGGGGTGATCGTCGTCGTCGTCGTCGTCGTCATCGTCGTCGTCGTCGTCGAGGGGCGGCGGCTGATCCTCATAAAGATGAGGAGGAGGAGGACGAGGAGGAGGAGGAATAAGGGAAACGGTGGTGGGTATGGGACAGAGGGGCGAGGAGCGTGGGCCGAGAGAGCAGTCTGTTGTTGGTGGTTTGGTGCTGCTGCTGCTGCGGCTACGGGTGCTGCCGATGATGTTCACGGTGATTGTGGAAACAGGCAGCGCGGCAGCCGTCTGGGAAGCACATCCTCGGAGGTCTCTTGGAACCATACTAGGGTTCTTTTGGGGTCTCGTGGGACACTCTTGGGGCGCTTTCGAGCTCTGTCGGGGGGCCTTGGGGTCTCATGGGGGCTCTTCATGGGGGTGTGGGAAGCCTCTCGCGGCCGTCGTGGCCCCCATTTGTCAAGAATGGCGGTGCACTCGGTCGTCCTCGGTTCCCCCCGCCGTTCCGCCAGCACGGACACCCAGACGTCTTTATTATTCGCCGACTCGGTCCTCCGAAGTTCATTTGGCGTTGTCCTCGTCGCCGTCGCCGTCGTCCAGAAGGTCGGTGTCTTCGGGCGTTTTTTTTCCACCTCAAGATACCCTGGAGACTCCCAGGGCTCACTGTGACGATGTCGTGGTCGTCGTCGCTTCTTACCGCACCGCGGCTGGACGCAGCTTCTGAAGGGTGGTGACGGCTGAGCCTGGGAGGGTTGCGACGCCCGTTCGGAGCGGATCTCTGCCGGCGATGTTCGGGCCCAGACGTCCGCGCACGCTGGACGGGCTCGGACGCCCTCATCGTCGTCGTCGTCGCCGCCGCCGCCGCCGTCGTCGTCGTCGTCGTCGTCGTCGTTTATCGTTGTCGTCGTCGCCGTCGCCGCCGTGGTCGTCGTCGTCGTCGCCGTCGTCGTCGTCGTGTCCGTCGTCGTTGCCGCCTTCGTTGTCATCGTCGTCGCCGTCCTCGTTGTCTGGACCCCTCGTTTGTAGATGGTGCTTGAAGTTTCCATACAGCGTGACCCAGCGAGTGACGCGCATGTCCGCCATGCATCGCGATTGGGGTCTGGAGGGGGAGGAGAGGGCTGAAGGGAGATAGGGGTTGGGGTGTTCAGGGGAGGCAATGACATCCTTCGTCGTCAGCCCGACCGCCGCCACCGCTCCGGCGTTGGCCACTCGGAAGGTCGCCCGGGCCTCTGTGGAGAGCGTGTTAAAGGAGAGCTCATCATCCCCATCTTCCCTGGCTTCGCTGCTTCGTCCTCGCCCCGGTTTGTAGCATTGACCGCTGTATTATTCATTGGACTCCCATTTTACGCGTGTCCCGCTTCAAGGGGAGATCGGACGCACTTTTACACAATGGTATTCGTCAGGACTCGCATTGGTCTGAAGCTCAGTTTGTTTTCTGCGTATTTCTTTCTCCTCTGGCCTTAGAAAGATCACAGACACCCTACCACACAGCACTTGGCATTCCAACACGCCTCAACGTCCCATGGGGCACGGTGGCGGATTCAATTGCTTCGTTCATCCTGCTGGCCCATATTGTAGCATTGCTGGCATTTGTTTGAGTGCGGGGGGCATCTGCGCGGTCTCCTGGAGGCGCCTGGGGGCCGCGCGGGCGCTTATTGGAGGCTCTGCAACGCGCCGCGCTCCCCCCGTTACCGGAGATGATAGCACGCATCTGGCCCATTGGGCCGTCGAGTTAGTTTATCGTTTTGTCTCGATATACGTCTCTATGTCGCTACCTCCGCTTTTTCTGTTTGTCATTCGCGCGCTCTCCTTCGTCCGTTCCTATGTTTTCGCACTCGCTCCTCGCCCAGCGTTCCTGTCTCCGGGTCGGTCAATGCTTCGGACTGACGTTCCCTGGCGCCGTGCGCTCGCTTTCTCTTCTTCTTCACCTTCGTTGGAGTTCCGGTTTGTGAATGACACGCCTGAGGACGGCGCGGAGGCGGCGGTCGAGCACCTGCGCAAGGTGATCCCACAGGGGAAAACCGTCTACGCTGGGGACCTGGATGTCATGACGGCGCGGGCGGCAGGCCGCGGTCAGACAGACGGGTGTTGACTCGGGATGGGTTACGACGGCGCCGATTCGGCGTGGCAAAGTGGGATGCAGTGCCCGACGACGGGTGGCGACGGAGGAGGGCACGCGCGCCGAACAGGCGGTTTTTAGAAGGGGGAGGTCCTTTCGCAGGGCGTCACGGCAGCGGCAGACCCTGTTAGACATGACATAATGGCCCCCCCGTGGCAGTGAAGGCTCGCTGCGGTCTCATTTCGTGCGCGGCCTTTTCGATATCGGGGGCCTTATGGAACCCGCGGCGGGACGCAGCTTCACAACAAGTCGACCTGGATTTTCAAAGTTCGGAGTCGATTTGGAGTGGATGTGAACAGACTGTCGGGCACAGAGGCAATCTGTCTTCCGCCCATGAGCCCAATGTAAGGTTCAATTCGTGGACTCCCCGGCGTTTCCGGCGAGCGACGTCGAGCGTGCCCTGACGACGCTCGGGCCCACCCGCAGGCTTGGCGCAGAGGACTGCTTCACTTCGATTTTTGTTCGCAATCGATGCTGTGCTCCGCGTCTCCTCCTCCTCCCTCCTCGCCCTCTTCATTGTTCCTCTCGTTGCGTGGCTTACTGGGAGCTCCGCCTCAGGTCTCCGTGGCTTCGTTCGCATGGCGCTGACGCTCCATTGCGGCACGATTTTCACATGCACAGCAATTCCAACTCAGATTCCAGCAGGGCAGTCCGCGAGGCGCAGCCTCTAGCATGGCAAACTACTAACACGTGTCGCGGTCCCATAGTGAGCTGCACATTTTCGTCGGCCCATAGGGACCTCCGCGCGAGGTCTCAGAGGGGCAATTCGCATGCCGCCGGCGCCCGATTCGGACACGCTCGTTGCACGTTGCGTGGCCTCACAGGGAGCTTCACTTACGGTCCCAGTGGCGCAGTTCGCATGGCGCTGGCGCCCCATGTTGTCTCACCGATCACATGTCCAGCTTCGTTATTGCGGTAGAGTGGATGAGTGGACACCCAAACCGTTGTGCTGGTTGGTTAGCACCCGATGTAAGTCGGCATTTCGTTCCACGCATACCCGTGCTGCTAGTTTTTCCTGCGGGGCTGGGAATGCAGGAACACAACGAGCGGGTGTCCAACGACAACTCGTTCAAGGACAAGATGTCCCGCAAGGAGGAGGGCGTGGCATCTCAGCGACAGGCGATTGAGATGGCCACCACCGTCGCGGCCCTGGCGTCCTCGAAGCGCAAACGCAGCCGAAAGGTTGCGGAGGAGGGGACCGCAGGGGAGCACCGATACAACGCCCATGTGTTGCATGCTGTACGCGTGTGTTTCGTTCGAATTCCGGAGAAATCGGGGTGTGTCTACAGGTGCTTTTCGCGCTCCTCCAAGCACAGGCCATGAGTAGAGGATGGTTCCTTTGCGATCATCATAGCCTCCCCTTGACACGATGGGTCAACGCAAGATAGAAACAATCCGTGATGCATGCCTGGACGTCTGGTGAAAGCCGTCGTTCCGATGTGACACATCACCAATTGTTTCATGTGACTCGTTCAACACGTCCGACGATGTTATATATTTACACTGGTAGCGGATGATGCGGATTCACGAGCAATCGCGACAGCGTGTGGTTTGTATGATGTGGTAGTGGTAGTGGTAGCGTTGATGGTGGCCGGAGCATTCCGGGATCGGGAGGCTCTCGCGCGCACGGTCCAGATCGCCACCGACGTGAGCACCTCCGGCCTGAAGGCGGGCGCGGCGGTCCGCGCGCGCTATGTGGCATTCGGGGAGGGGGGAAGGTGAACGGAAGAAGGGACATGGAAGAAAAGGGGGTGGGTGAGGAGGGATACGCATGAGAGAAATGGGAGCGAGGGGGGGGAGGTAAAAAACGGCGACGCCGCGGGGGAGGAGGATGAAGGGCAAGAGCGGGAGGGAAGGATGTTGCACAGGTTCAGACGCGGTTGGGGGGGGGTGAGAACGACGGAATGTCGTTGGAGTGCTACCTGCATTCGCTTTGCCGCGTGTGTGTGGTCAACGATGGACGGGCGTGGATGGTCACCGCAAGGTGAAGAGGAAGGAGACAAGAAAGAATAAGGCGTAGAGATTGACACCCCCAGTGCCCTGAGGAAATTCGCTCGATGTGCGATCTCGTAAATGCAATGATTCGCGGCCCTGCGGCGCCAGGTTCGCGGCCTCAAGCGGGCCCGGGAGGGCGAGTCGTCTGAGGACGAGTAGGCGCCCGCCGCCGCCGCCGGCGACGCCGCCGCCGTTGCCGCCGCCGTCGTCGTCGTCGTCGTTGTCGTCGTCGTTGTCCTCGGCGTCGTCGTCGTCGTCGTCGTCGTCGAATGTAGCGCGTCGAGATTCGAGGATTTTTTGTCGTTGCATTTTCAGTGTTTCTGAGTCCTGGGGTCGGCGGAAATCGATCTGGTATAAGTTATCACCAGGGAGGCTCCGGGAGGGGTCCAGGGACGGATTTTGATCCGATTTCGTTGAATCTGAAGGGGGAGCAACCACGGACACGACGTCGAAGTCGGCGTCGGCAGCGCATCTCGATCGTCGTCCGCCTGGGCGTCGATTCCCGAGGATGAGGAGGAGGAGGAGGGAGAGGCGGAGGAGGAAACGGAGGGGAGAATGAGGGAGGGCCGGGGGCTCCCTCGATCCTGCGGCGCGCCGATGGGGGGTAGGGGGAGGGGGAGGTCTTCTTGGAAGGCAGGGCGCTTCTCAGAGTCCCTCTGAGGACTTCTTCAGGAGCAGGGAGGAGGGAGGAGGGGGGAGGAGGAGGGAGGAGGAGGGAGGAGGAGGGAGTAGGAGGGAGCATACTGGAGGAGGGGGGAAGAGGGAGGAGGTAAGGGCAGGTAGGAGGGGGGGAGGGGACCGACCGTGATCCGATTTCGGCGCCCCCTCTCTGTCGGGAGTCGCGGGGAGGGCTTGTTAGAAGGCGGGGAGGTCTGAGAGGCCTTCGGAGTCTTCTTCGATGCCTTCGGAAGCGCTGCCTAGTCTTTATTGCCGTGCCCTCTTCCGTGGTCCCATGATGGGTCTCTTCTGATGTGTTATCTGAGTGCCCCTCTGAAGTATCATCGTAGGTTGCATCATCGGCGCATCTTGAGTTTGTTTTCTGCAGTCTTCTCTCAGGCTAGGTAGCAGGTCCTGCGCTGGTTCCCAGCTATCCTGGGTGGGATCTCCGCGGTCGAGGGCCATGGGAAAGGTGCCGGGTCCCCGACAATGACAAGCAAATTCTCACCTGAAAGCATTTTAGCAACTTCCTGACTTAGGTTGCCGCGCGCCCCGGGGGATTCCAGTGGTCCCCCGTTCCTCTTTTCTGCCTCCGACCAACCCCGGAGGAGAAGGAGGAGGAGGGAGGAGGGAGAGGGAGGAGGACGACGAGGAGGAGGGAGGAGGAGGGGGGAGGAGGAGGAGGAGGGGTGATAAGGAGCAGGGGGAAAGGAGGAGGAGGAGGAGGAGGAGGAGGAGGAGGAGGATGAGGAGGAGGATGAGCAGGGAGATGAGGAGGGAGGGGGGGGGGGGGGAGGGAGGAGGAGGAGGGAGGGGGTGGAGGTCGGAGGAGGGGAGGGGGCAGGTAGGAGGAGGTGTGAGAAGGGAGGGGGGAGGAGGAGGAGGAGGAGGGGCGATAAGGAGGAGGGGGGGATGAGGAGGATGAGGAAGAGGAGGAGGAGGAGACGGAGGGGAGAGTGAGGGAGGGCCGGGGGCTCCCTCGGTTTTCTCCGGACTCTCCGGCAAATTCCCTCGAACCTGCGGCGCGCCGAGGGGGGTAGGGGGAGGGGGGAGGGCTTCTTGGAAGGCATGGTGCCTCTCAGAGTTCTTCTGAGGGCTTCTTCAGGAGCAGGGAGGAGGGAGGATTGGGGGAGGCGGAGGGAGGAGGAGGGAGGAGGAGGGAGTAGGAGGGAGGATACTGGAGGAGGGCGGACGAGGGAGGAGGTAAGGGGAGGTAGGAGGGTGGAGGGGACCGACCGTGATCCGATTTCGGCGCCCCCTCTCCGTCGGGAGTCGGGGGGAGGGCTTGTTAGAAGGCGGGGAATTCTGAGAGGCCTTCGGATGCGCTGCCTACTCTCTATTCCCCTGCCCCCTTCCCGTGACTTAGGTTCCCGCGCGCCCCGGGGGATTCCAGTGGTCCCCCGTTCCTCTCTTCTGCCTCGGACCAACCTCGGAGGACAAGGAGGAGGAGGGAGGAGGGGGAGGGAGGAGGACGACGAGGAGGAGGGAGCAGGAGTGGGAGGAGGAGGAGGAGGGGTGATAAGGAGGAGGGGGGTGGAGGAGGAGGAGGAGGAGGAGGAGGAGGGATGAGGATGGAGGAGGGGGAGGGGAGGAGGGGGAGGGAGGGGGAGGAGGGTGGAGGAGGGGGGAGGAAGGGGGAGGAGGGGGGAGGACGGAGGAGGGAGGGGAGGGAAGCGGAGGGAGGAGGAGGAGGAGGAGGAGAAGGGTGAATGAACGCAGATAGAAGGGAATGGTTGATGACGACGATGCTGATGATGACGACGACGACGATGATGATGATTATGATGACGATGTTGGTGATGAGGATGATGATGAAGAGGCGGATTGTCATTATTACTTTTATTTATTGTCATCCGGTGCCCCTCTGCTCAACTCGCCACCGTGCCTGGGTTGCGGGGATGGGGTTTCCGAAGTCGGTGCTCCTGCCGTACCGTCGGTCTCATATTGAATCCCACCTCCGGTCTCGTCTTCGGGCATTCTCTAATGTATCATATGAGGTCGCATCTTAGGCATCATCTGAGGTCTCATGGTGAACCCCTTTCTGAGTATCGTATTTTGTCCCAGTTCGGGCCTCGGGCTAGGTTTCATATTCGGCTTTAGCTCGGTGCCCACACGGGGCCTCGCACCCGGTATCCTCCGTAAAAGAAACGCTCAGGACATTCCAGTGGTCCCGATCTGGTGGCTTCGTGCGAGAAGACTCGCAACAGATCTTCCCGCGAGTCCGTAGAGCCCCGCCCTCTGACGACGCGTGGTCGCAGGGGATTCCAGTGGTCCCGCATGTCGTTGCCGACGCGTCCGAGTGACCTTGCGCCGGCGTGACCTCTAGTCTCCGGCTTCTCGGTCCTGGGGGGGCGGCTTCCGTCGCCACGGCTGGGGGCGGCTCGGAAAACAGATTTGTTTGGACCCAGAGAGGGGTCGGGGGGAGGGTGATCTGGACAGGATTTGTGCGCACCACAGGTCGCCCTCGCCGAAGGGAAGTTGCACGGCTCTTCGATGGGGTTTCCGAAGCCGGCGCTCCTGCCGTATCGCCGGTCTCATATTCAATCCTATCTTTGGTCTCGTCGTCGGTATTTTCTCATTTCTCATATGAGGTTGCATGTGAGGCTCCGTTGGAGGTCTCACTTCCAGCCTCATAGTGAGTCCCGCCTTGGGTTTCATTTCGGGCCTCCTCGTAGGTCTCGGGGGCCACATGGGGTCTCACACCTGGTCTTCTCCGTGATAAAAAAAAAAAAAAAAAAAAAAAAAAAACATATCGGTCGGGGGATTCCAGTGGTCCCTATCTGGGGGCTTCGTGTGAGAAGCCTCCACATCGAGCTGCGCGCGAGCCAGCAGGGCATTGTCCTCTGAGGACGTGTAACCGGCGGGGCTCCCAGTGATCCCGCGTGTCGTCGCCGACGCGTCAGAGTGAAATTTAGTTGGGGTGACCTTTGGTGTCCGGCTTCGTGGCCCTCGGGGGGGCCTTCGTCGACACGGCGAGGGGCGGCTCGGAAAGCAGATCCTTTTAGACCCTGAGCCGGATTGGGGGGAGGGCGATATGGAGCGGATTGGTGCGCACCCACGGTGTCCCTGGCCGAAGCTCGCTCGTACGGCGCCTCGAGGTGGGTTTCCCGGGCCGGCGCGTTTGCCAGACTAGTCTGTAGCTGTTTCGGGTCGAGGCCGAACTGGCAGCCGTTTGTGCTTTGGCGCGGGCGTTGCGCCAGGGTTCTGTTCTCGTTGTGCCATGGTTTATTTCACATCGTGGGATGCTGCTCTCGCTCATCTGCGACAGAGTGCTTCTCTGTATGAAGTTTTAGTTTGTTACGACACACGGGAGCTTCAGGACTTACACTATGGGCTCCCACTTGCTGACCTCCGCCGTGCGTGGGCGCTGGAGCGGGGCCGGCTCACTATGGAGCTGCACGGCCCCGAGGCGTTGCCTTCGCACGTGCGGTGTGCTCATCATTTCTGGGCCAAAGTTGGCATCTGCAAAGATCTTCTGGCAACCGGCAGCGTATCTTTCTTGCTCTGGATGGACACGGACGCCGCGCCTAACCCGATCGTAGATGCATCCTCCGACCACGGCGTGGCGCCCGAGCAACTCCGATTCCCCTCTCTAGCCTCTATTCTCTAGACTCCCGTCATGCCCCGCCGTCTGCCCGCTTTCGTCCGCCTATCTGAGACGGCCCGTTATGCGCGTCGGGGCACTCCCCCCCTCCCCCCGCCCGCTTTCGCATATCTACTCATGTCCCTCCTACACCTGCTTCCTTTTTACTCTCATCGGGCAAGTAAGGGCGTTTCAATGAGTTGCAATGTGGAGTCCCCGACGGGCGGTGGTTAGGAGTGATCCCGTTGCAAGCGGTTGCAATCTGGAGACCCCGGCACTTACCATGTGCTATGTCGGATACCATCCTGGGTTCTCTCTTGGGCCTCTCCGCATCCTCGTCCGAGGCAGGACTCCCCGACAATTCCGGAACGTTTTCCCCGGGCCGTTTCAGTTAACTGTTGCTTGAAAAGTTGGTGGGGTTTTCCCGCGCCCAGTGCTTCCCCTTGCGGGGCGGCGGCGGTTCTTCGACAGACATGCCGGCGCGAACGCGGCGTTTCTTGGATATCGTGAGGCGGTCCGCACCCGCCATACGTGTCCGACACAGAGCTGCAGTTGCAGGGTCATGTACCCGCGTGTCACTTCAGACCACTGCTCCTTCAACGCCGGGGTGTTCATCCTCCGAGGCTCGGCCGCGAAGGCTCTGCTCAACGAGTGGTGGACGCAGCGGCGGCCGTCGACCTGGAAACCCCGGGGCCGCCAGGGCAGCGGCCCTGGGTACGAGCAAACCGTTTTCGATGAGCTCTTCGCGCCCAGAAAGTCGGCCACCTTGGCGTCACAAGAGGTGTTCTGTGAGCAGCAGAAGCTCAACGCGGTCACTCCATTCATGCATTTTTACGGACGGGCGCAATGGATCGGGAAGTCGCAGATCTCTAAATGGAGTTTCAAGGCGATTTCGAAGCTTTCCATCCAACAGAGACGAACGGTTCCGGACTTGGCCGCATACGTTCGTCACTACACATCCACCTCTTCATCCGGCGTGGCGGTGGAGCGACGGGACAACAGGGCTAACAACACGTTGGCCTTGCGGAAATCGTGTGGGAAGCGCATCAGGTTCCGGCGGCGCACGCACGGCTCCACACGCCTGCCTGCGGCACTCCCCGCCAGAGAGCGCCCGGCCCAGGGCGCAGAAACGGGAGGAGGAGGGGGAGGCGGCACGAGGAGGACGAGGAGGAGGCAAGACAGGACGAAGGAAAGAGCGGGCGACGAGGGGGCGTGGAGGGGGGGATCCAGCGTCTTCGGACTCTCTTGGGCTGTATTGGCCGCCTTTTGTGCAGTCTTGGGGCCTCTTGGGCCGTCTTGGAGCCGTATTGGGGGCTTCTAGGGCCGTCTTGGGGCTGTTTCGGGGGGGCCTCTAGGTCCACTTGGAGCCGTCTTTGGGCGATCTTGGAGCGTATTGTAGGCTTGTTGAGAGCTATCCATGGCCATCGAGGGCTATCTTGAGCGACAGTGGAGGTTTTCTTGGGCTCTCTTGGGCTCTCTTAGCGCCATCTGAGGCCACATGTGACGCTCTAGCGCATCGCGAAACGCTTTGTCCAGGCCCAGGGGAAGAAGGGGAAGAAAAGGGGTGGAACAGAAAAGGGCCATCAGGACCATTGAAGCTCTGAAGGGCTGGTGGGATTCAGCGCCCCCCGAGCTCGGCAGCTTGACATCGACGACAAATACGACGGCGGCGGCGGCGCGAGCGGCCGTTGCCTGGACGGCGGCCTGCGCAATGAGTCGCAAAGCAGGCGGGTGGGCTCCGAGATTCCGCGCAAGAGGTGGCAGCTGGCACTGGTCCGGGCAGTCTCGCTTAAGACATCCTCTCAACCTGCAGTGGTCCATTGAGTCTCGCGTGAAACGTTTTCAGAAAACGAGCTTCTTGGAGGTTCCCGTTGAAAACGGCGCACGTTAAACATGAGCGTCTCGCTGCAAACATCTTTTTGAACATCGCGAACCCGAAATCGCTGGCCTGATCTTCGGATTTTCGAAAAAAAAAAGTCCCTCGCCTGAGCCAACTCGAAACAGTAGGATGTTGAAAAAGCCGATTGAAGACCCCTGCTCTTACAAAGAAGCAACTCGCTCGAGACATCCTCGCGAAATGGAGGAGTTTAAATCGCTGGCGCAAACCCTTCGGATCTTTGAAAACGTCGATTTCGCTTGAGATCTTTCCAACAAACGAGATGTTGAAGTACCCGTTGCACGACTTGTTGTAGGAGCGCTCTGCAGGACCTCCCAAGGTGGCCCACGAGGCGCAATCATTGCAAAATGAACCGTTTTGCAACACTGTTGTTCATAATAAAGCGTTTCGCTCGAGACGTCTTCGAAAAAATGCCTTCGACAGGGTCGTCTTGGGGGCTGTGCACATGGAGGTGGAGCAGCACGAGAATGAGGAGGATCCCCGTCCACCCTTCCTTCTTTCACGGTTATCTGACTCCCCCCGTATCTCCTACAGCGCCCATCGCACCGCGGAGCAGAAGCCTTCGGCCACGGGACGACATGCGAAAGAGTCCCACCGCAACCGCGCGGTGTGTGAGAAAAGGCGTTGCGGGCTTGAGGCCGCGTCGTCGCCTTCGCTGCCGCCGCCGCCGCCGTCGCCGTCGACGTTGTCGTCGTCGTCGCCGTCGTCGGCGTCGTCGTCGCCGCGTCGTGGATGCCGGACGTTCGTTCGCCAGTGCGACCTCTGGGGGCTATTGTCGAGCCCCAGGACCGCCGGGAGTCGATTTGGAGCTACACGGTGCATCTGGTACAACAGATCTGGGAAAAGGCCCTGGGGCCCACTTCGAGTGGATACTGGGCGTCTGGAGTCGTCGCCGTCGTCGTCGTGGACGTCGTGGCCGCCGTGATCCATGTTGCCAGTGGACTGCAACTGCAGCACTTCGTGTTCTAACAGGAGCCATCTTGAAGTTGCAGACGTGTTCTCATGTAGGTGTGGATATTGTCAACGGCGCCTTCCGTGCGCCATCAATGCCCCCCTCCAGCTTCACCCCCTCTGTTTCCCTCGTCCTGCTCCTCTCCCCGCTTCACGAGGCCCTTGGCGTCTTGCAAACACCGTGGCCGATTCCTTGCTGATCTGCAGGCCTCGGGGGGCCGTCGTCGGAGTCGCGGGCCGTTGAAGGACGACTGCGAATGAGAAGCTGGTGACTATGAAAAGGGTTGAGATCTCCGAGGCTGGCGTGTTGATGAGAATACGCCGATCGCGACACAGAGTAAGCTCATGTTGCGAAGATCCGCAGCTGGCTCACAGGTCGAGCTAGGTAAGAATCCGGTGTGCTGAAGCATGGGCGAGGGATCGAGGCACTTGGGAGACGGGCTTCCCCCAGAAATCCAGTTTCATAAGATGTTCAGATCGGCGATGTCGGCGACGACGACGACGACGACGGGGACGGCGAAGCGACGGCCACGTCGACGACGACGCCCCGGGACAGGATGCGTCCTATCTTTGGGAGTGGGCGCTGGCTTTGGAATCGCGTACAAATGTGCGATTTATTGTTCCCCACGCCGCCCCACAGCTGACGTTTCGAAGACGAGGTCGAGGAGAGGAGAGCGGAGGTGGGAGAGGCAGGGGAGGGAGCACGACCAATGGGGAAGGACGATAAGGGGAGGGCGACGAAGTGTGAGGGCTGGGCAGTATGGCAATGAGGGGTTGTTCGCCGCGCGCTTCAGGGTCAAGCCCTTGAGCTGCTGTCTGTGCTCCCCGGTCGTCTCCAGGTCCCCGACGTGGGCCGTGGGCGGCAGCCATGCAGGTTTTTCCGGTTGTACCTGACACAACCGCGGGCTCTTCCGGTCGTGCCATAAACGACCGCGGGCTTTTCCGGTTGCGCCAAAAGCAACCGCGGGCTTTACCGGGCGTGCCACAAACACCCGCGGGACTGCCGGTGTCCACAAGCCGGTCCTCCGGAGACGGGGTGGTTCGTGGCGGGCGTCAGCAATGGCGTCCCTGCGTTCCTGCATGGGCCTTCGGGTCAGCCGGTGCGAGGCCGGTGCCCCGTGAGGGGTGTGACGCGAATGGGGCCGTTTGGCCCTGTTCGTGTTGCTGCATAAATCAAATAAAGAATTATGACGTGCACACGTGCCTTCACTGGTCCACGGGTTTCGTCCAGAGCACTTTACCGGTCATACGGCCAATTGTCGCTTCCGCGTGCAACGGCGACGTGCTTCCATTGCCGCACCCAGAGCGTACGTTGCAAGCCCTGAGGGGGTGTAGTGTTCGCACGTCCACAGTGGAATCGCCTCGGCGGAGGTCCGGGCACCTTGCACTGAGTGAGGCACAGGGTCAATTTGAAAATCGATGTACTGAGCTGGACGTGCCGCGAGGCCTTTATATCAAGTCTGTGCCCGGCCCTTTGTCGTCAGCGGGGCGCAGCAGCACAGGTCCCCCCATGCATCACATCGCGAGCGGCCCCGGTGTAATCTGCCGTGCGGGCCGCTGTCAAGGTGGTCGCCCAATCGGCTGTGCAGACTCGTCGTGTAAGTTGGTGAGGGCGTCGCTATCGCATATTGGTGGAAACGGTGGCATGGTGAACGTGGAATGCGGCAGTCGTGGAGCCGGTGCTCCCTGCTGTTCTCGCCATTGTGTTGTTATTGTTTGCTGTCGTGGTTGTCGTCATGTGGCTGCTGTTGTGCATGGCCTCAGTGGCGGGGTTGGGGGCTGCTGCAGTATGCGCTGGGTGTTGTATGCAGGCTTGTCGCATGACTGCGCTGCCGCGGCATCACTGTCAATTTCCAGCAGTAGAGTTGCGATCACAGTGGATCGGCGCCGTCACGAAGGTGGTACTGGTTGCTGCCGTGCGGGCGCTGCTTCTGGTAGCTGTTGTCTTCGTCGTCCTGGTGCTGTTGCTGGTCGCGGTCGTAGGGGTGCGTCTGAATGCTGTAGCATGCGCGGCGTCCCGCGGTCGAAGGGCGCGACAGAAGCGCCGACCGTCGGAGGCGACGCCTTTTTCGCGGTGCGCAATAGATGTCACAAGTGCGCGGGCCAGCTAGGAGAGGCATCGCGACCACGATTTGTCAGGCTGCGCTCCGCGACGTCTCCTGTGTCGGCAGGGAAGTGTTTGCAGTCGGAGGGGCAAGGTCGTGGAGGCTGGTGCATGCGTTGTCCTTGGAGTTCGCGCCCCCCCCTTCGAAGGGGGAGATTGTCGCATTTCTCCGGCGGCTGTATCGTAATGCATGGTGGTCATGGGAAGGGGACATGCGCGCCAATTTCGAGACTCGCGTGTGTGTGTGGTTGCTTTTTGCCAAAAGGAAATGTGCGCAATTCTGTCGATCTTCTTTTGCGCGCCGGCGTCGCGAGCGAGGACACCTGCGTCCGCGGGTATGTCGTGGAGAGAAAACACGGTGGCGCACATCCCGAATGTACTCACCGTTTCCCATCGCCCTGCTCGGTGATGTGGCCCGTCATTCGTGCGGGGAAGGTTGCCGCGATCGAACCAGTCATTCTGATCCTATTTCCGTCTGTGTCTATTCGTCGTATTCGCAGTGTCTTTCCGTTGCTTTGTTCGACCGTGTTCGAGTCGGTGGCATTGTCGGCTGCGGTGTAAGTATGGGGATGTGTGTCTGCAGGGCGGAGGACTCCCCAGTGCTCAGAATATTGGCGCTGTGTGCCGTGATGGGGCCCCGCACTGCGCAGAGTGGTCTTCGCCTATGGGTAGACGAGGTCCACTGTGACACGTTAGAAGAGTGTGTGGCGTTGACCAAGACAATGCTGTATTGCGCCACGTTGGAGTGCGGACTGGGCGGTTTCGGCTCGTGGGAAAGAGTGGCACGCATGTGGCCGTTGTACCCACCGGATGAAGGGGGAAGTTCGGGAGCCGGACGTCACGGGAAAGGGAGAGCGACGCCCCCGCTGAGACGCTTGCAAAACCCAGAGAACTATTGCTGGATCAACGCCTCATTACATGCGGTGTTGGCCCCGCGAATCGCCCGGGACGCGGCGGGGTCTGTCCCGGCGGCGGATGCGAGGTCTTGGGACTGGTGGCGATTTCATAAGCGGGGGCGGGGCGGCGGGCAGAGTCGCTCGGAGGACCCGAATTTTGACGCCTTGATCGGGGTCGCGCTGCGCGACATGACGGGCGACCTGCAGAGCCTGCCCGTCCTGGCCCAGGCGGTCGCAAAAGTGTTCTATCGGCAGGCGCAGGAAGATGCCCACGAATTTCTGATGGAGCTTCTGGACCCCAACCGCGCCAAGAGGGTAGCCGTACCTTTTTGCTACGTAAACACTGAATCTATTCATTGCAGGGGCGCGAATTGCGACGGAGAGATCGGCGTTAAAGAAATGCGGCCCCGGACATGCGTGGAGGCCCCAGTGCTGACGGGCGAGGGTTCGCGGATCACCACTACGCAGGACGCGCTAGACGAAGCCTATCGAGCGTCGGAAATAGATTCGGATTACATGTGGGTTTGTCCGCAAGCGCGCGGCCATGCTACTGCATTGAAGAGGGCGCGGATGACGCGGGCGCCATCCATTTTGTGGGTGCAGCTGAAAAGGTGGACGTGGGACGTGACCGCAGGGAGGGAAATTCTCAGCGCGCATCACGTGAGACCATGTCGGGAGGTGCGCGTTGGAGGAGTCAGCTATGCACTGCGAAGTTGCGTGTTTCATCGCGGGGATTCCGCGCGACGGGGTCATTACGTGGCCGTGTGTGCGAGCGTGGTGGGTTGCCAGGAGCAGTGGATTCTACGCGATGATTATGACGCAAGCCTGGTGGAACATCCGTCGGAGACGGCCGAGTGGCAAACGGCGGAAAACCTGAAAGCGTACATGCTCGTCTATGAGAGCATGGAATTTCTGGGCGGGGCGTCGAGCACGTCGCTGCAGCCGACGGCAAGCGCGAGTGAGACGCGTGGGCCAGTTGACGACGCGAACAGAACGGGAGACGACAGAGTGGCGGGCGGGACGGAGCGCTCTGACGGATCAGATGTGAATAGAGGTGGAGCGAGTGAAGGGGCACACGCGGCGTCCAAAAGCGGCGCGGGGGAACCGACGGGGAAGAGGTCGCGAGTCGGTGAGAACGTGGGAGTAACCGTGGGCGACGGCGATGTTGTCCAAACCAAGGCCCCCCCTCCCAATCCAGGCAACAACAAAACCATGGACGTGGGAGAAGGCCGAGGTTCGAAGACAGGTGATTGGAGCACTGACAGGCGGGCAGTCGCTGGCGTCGGCGGGCGGGGCTCGACGAACGCGGGCGGGGCGGGGACAGGCCGCGCTCCGCCGATCGCCGCGCACCCGGACTTCGCAGGGAAGGTCGCGCGGACACGGCGGAAGGATAAGACTGGAGGCGGCGGTGGGGAGGCTGCGTTGACCAGAAAAGCGCCGGTTGCAGCATGGAGCGGGGAAGAGTGTAGCGCTGGGGCGGACTGCGGCGGCAGTTGCGATAGGGGAGCGCATGGCGACGGACCGGGCCGCGAGGCTGCGAATAAGATAGAGACACCAGTGGCGGACGAGGCGCAGGAGTGGTTCTTTGCTGCCCGAGTGAACCCGGATTCGCAAGACCCTCGGAGGGGACGAGAGAGGGCCGTGGCACAGGCGGCGGAGCTTTTGCGGGAGTGCCCGGTGACCCGGAAGACCCGCCCAGGCCGTGGGGGGAAGCGTTGGCCGAAGACCGTGCGGTAGAGTTACCGGCCGCGCACTGCGCGTTCCGCGGCTGTCGATGGTCGGGTGACACAGAAATGGAGTTGATCGCGCACGTGGCCGCGGAGCATGGGGACGTCTTACAGCCCATCGCGGACACCTACTCCCCGGCGCACGAGGAGAGCGAGAGGATGCTGGCGGCGCACAGCGAAGTGGTGTCGCAGAGGACGCGGCAGGACGCGCCGCTGTCCACGTATGCATTGCAACGACGCAGCTTGAAAGGATACGCGAACGCGACAGCGGACAAGAATGTGTGTGCGCCTATATGCTTTCTCTGCGCTTGCTCGTTTCCCTGGGTGGCCGACCAAGAAAACAATGATATTTCATGGGAGAAAATTTTTGAGAGCGATCCAGGAGATAGACCGCGAGTTTCGCGCATGGGTGCGTGGTCCATCTTGGACGCGTCGCGCGAGTTCGGTCTCATGGCGTACTTTCGAAGGTATAGGTACGAGGAGGGGAACGACAAGCTGGACCTGATGAAACATATGAGAGATTTCGATGATTGGAATCTGCGCGTGCAGTGCGCTCGTGGGTCAGGAGTTCCCGGGGACAGGTTCGATTTGTTGTGCTGCCCAGAGGATGTGCGTTGCACGGGCGGGTGCGTGGAAGCGAAGACCGCGTGTCCAGAGTGCGAGGTGCCGGTCTGCAGGGAGTGCTCGAAGAGCTTGAAGATTCCGAGAATGACGTGGGACGGGACAGAGGCACGGGAGAAGCCGCAGATGCCTGCGCGCTGCCTGGCAAACGATCTCATGACGTTCTATGGGCCACTGAGCATGTACGACGACGGAATGACCGTGATGGAGATGATATGTTGTAGCCCGTGCATAACTTCAATGATATGCTTTTCTTTGGAAGTGAAGTACCAGAATTTGTTCGACTCGATCGCTGGGATGCAGGAAACGCGGGTTGCGGCGCGCGGGAATGCAACCTCGTTCGCTCTGCCGTGGCAGGGTATCCTTGCCGAATTGCGGCGAAAGGAGAAGTGCCACCAGAGCGCTGGAGGCGTCGCCTTGCCGCGCGTGGGTTGGGAGCTCGCCAATGTAGTGCAGGTTCTGTTGAAGGTGAGCGACGCGACGACGAAGCAGAACCTGCCGCAGTTCATCCACCAAGCAACAGTGCGAAAGCACGTTGTGAAGCACCATATCAAAAAGATGATGTCCCGCGGGCACCGGGCGTTCGCGCACGTGGATGAGGCCCGCATGGATGCCCGCGCAGAGAGCCTGCCGAGGAACGGCGTTCCGCCAGAACTCGTTCGCCTGCTTCCATACGACAACCACTTGGAGAAGGTGATGGTGCAAAAGAACGCGACGCCGTCAGATGGCGCAAAGACGACGGTGGAAGAAGCCTGCGAGGACGTGAATCGGCGCATCCCGAACATGGTGGTTATGGAGAAATCCAGCTTCAATGACGTGGACGCGAACGCGATGACGGAGTCCGCGTTCGCGCGGCTCGCGGAAGGGGTCGGCGAAGTGGCAGCGGAACCCGCGAGCGTCCAGAATGCGCAGGGCAGGCCAAGCGCAGCAGGAGTGTGCTTCACAGCTGCAGCGTGGCGAGATCACATTGTTGCATTGGCCGCGCACTTCCTAGGCGATCGGGAGAACGGGCGCATGCGGTACACGAGCCGTGGGATGCGGAGCGTGGCTGAGATCGGGGAAACTACTCAGCGGTACAACCTCGTGCTCATGGACGAAGCAGGGCGCGGCACTTGGGTGGAAAAAATGCGTTTGCGCCTGGTGGTGTCGCCTGGCACGGAGATGATGAGCCAGTTCGTGCCTTGGTTTTTTGGCGTGGCTTTCCTTTTCTGTTTCAAGTTCGGAACGGGCATGCCCGACATGCCGGAGTGGTCAGAGACGAGTCGCCACAGGCGGGGGCCGGAGGCGCCAAGAGTCGAACTTCCTCTCTGGACGAACATCATGACCCGGCGCGTGGAGTCGCAGCTCCGTCGCGATTGGCGGTTTGGATTCACGATGTCGTCACTATTGTACCAGAGTGCTCTGAACACGTCGAGAAGCATGCGTTTATTTGCGGACCATGAGCAGATGGAAGATCAGGGGGACCGTGATTTCGCATACATGGAAGAAGTAGCAGTTAGCATAGTGGAAGCGCTACGGGGCAGCTACGAGGAGCCAGGCACCGGTCAACGTCGCCCGGTGAACGGCGATGTGAACAAGTTGAAATTTGTAACGTCTTTGTCAGACACCGCGCAGCGGATGGTTCGCGGGGCGCAAGCAATCAACCGGAAGATAGGGGGAACGAATGAAGTACGGACACTGATGCGGTACGACACGCATGCGGCGCGGGTTGCCCAAGGCGTTCCAGTGTTTTTCACGATGTCACCCGACGAGAGGCACAATTTGATCATGGTGCGCATGAGTCGATCCCGTCGAGAAGACCCAGTGAACCGGCGACGCGTGCAGGCAGAATTCGGGAGCACGCACGGCGGCCTGTGGGATCCCGCGTGGCCGCAGGAACGCGAATCCTCCGCGGACGACGTGCACTTGGAAATTCCCGTGGGCATCCTGGAGAGGGACCTCCCCGATGCCAGCGCGCGTTTGGCGTGTTTGGCGCGGGATCCGCTGGCTGGCGTGGATGGGTTCCGCATTATAGTCGGGCTTGTGTGGTCGCATCTGTTTGGGCTTCGCTGGTGTCCGAAGTGCCCTGACTGCAAGTGCGCGGACTTGAATGGAAGCAACGCGAAGCTTGTAGGGGGATGCGCCGGCAGGATCGACGGGGTGTACGGGTCCATAGAAGCGCAGAAGTCAGCCGGAAGCTTGCACGTGCACGCGCAATTGTTCGTGCAGTGCATGCACCAGCACACGCCGCTGCACGAGATTATGCGGCTCCCGCGCGAAAGGCTGACAAAATTGCTGGACGGGTACGCCAAGTACAAGCGGCATGTATCCAGGCAGGTCTACGACGACGTCGACGCGTGGCACCAGGAGAAGGGGAGCGTTGAAGATGCGTGGCCAGCGTACAGAGAGACGGATGACCTTTTGGGCGGGGAGGGGTACCTGGCGCAGTCAGATGAGGAGATCGAGAGAGCTCAAGGAAGGAGTGGGTGTGCCGATGGGGAGCAGGGGGCGACAAGCGGGTCCACGTTGTGGTTGCGGAAGTATCTGGGGAAGTGCGTGCAGCGCGGCCAGGGGTTACGTCAGAATCACGTGCACAAGTGGAACGCGCGGAAACGCCAGATGATGCCGTTGCTCCACTGTCAGCGGGACGACGACCCTACAAAATGCAAGAGCTTCTTCCCGCGGACCACGTGGCAGGTAGACAAGACCGTGTTGTTGTGCCAGGGCTTCCTCAGAAGCCGCGGAATGCCGAGCACGGGGCGGAGAGCCATGACCGGGTGTCTGCACGGCCCGCAAAATGAAGAGAATCTGAACGGCACGCTGCCCGCAATTCTGAGCGGTGGGGTGGGCTTGAATTTCAACTCGGATCTGCAGCTGCCGCATCGGTTTCCAATCCTGGAAGACACGCACGACGGCACCGTGTGCGAAGAAAGGTGCTGGGAAGGGGCGCAGGCGAAAGATATCGTTCTCGCAGCGCAGCGGGCGCAGAACGCGCAGGCGGGCTACGCGTGCGATTACGGAGCAAAGCGGCTGGCGACGTCGTTCAACGAGGTGAAGGAAATCAAAAAGGGCCATCACGCACTGAGCGAGAAGGTGAAGGACAGGAGTGCGTCGCACGTGGCGCATAGGCACATCACGCGCCTCCTGTCGGACCTGTACGGGAAGGGAATTGTGCGTTCAGCGCAGGAGAGCGTGAACTTGCGCGCATATGGGGATGCACGAGACGTAACGGCCGCAGAGAGCATGAAGACGACGAAGACGGCCATGGTCCCTGGTTTCGACGTGGTACGGCTCGTTGAGCGCGAGTGCGGCGTGGCGTCAGAAAGGTCGGGGCCGGGGCGGTGCCATATCGAGCGCGATGGTAGGCGTTCGAAGAGGCCCAGGGTAGTTTCGAAGAACCCAGCAGTGCTGTATGGCATGCGGCCATTAGACTCTGCGTGGGCTCCAGAGCTCAAGTTTTTGTCTGTGTATGAGTTTTACAGGTACTGGCGAATCGAGCTGACGCGCTTTTTGACGAAGCCGAAGTGCAAACAAGAAGAAGGCGAAGACGACGAAACAGTGTATCATGCGGTTCTCACACGCGCCGGCAGAGCGAAACTAGAGCGAGCGAAACGGACAACCGGGGGGGAGCTTCCGTTGTCCCCTGGAAAGGATTACGTCGTTCGCTGTGACGGATGTGACAGCTGGGTTGCGTTCCCAGACGTTCCTGTCATGGAAACGACTCGGCACAGGTGGGTCCTCGTGCGGAATGAGCGCCCGCGGAACCCTAGCTTCCATGGCGCGCCGCAGCCGAAGCACAAACACGGGGAGGAAGACAGGAACGGGTTGATACTCATGGCGTACTTCCGTCCGTTCACGTTGCAGGAGTCGGACCTGGACGGAGTGTCCCGGGTGTCGGACTGGTGCGCGGATGGCCGGCAGTTGGGCGTTGTTGCACGGGAATGGCTGGACGGGGGCCTGACGTGCGAAGAAGCGAAACGGCACGTGCAGAATTACATGAACGTGGTAGACATGCGACCAGAGGGGGAGGAGGCCTTCGGGAAGCACGAGGACGACCTATTCAGCGACGAAGACGTGGATGTCGATGACATAGACGAAGAATCGAGGCGGCGGGTGCATGTTGGGGGCACGCGCATGGAAAACGAGGAGCGGCAGACGACTGAAGCAGATGCGGATGCTCGTCGACAGAGTGCGGAAGCCATGGCGTTGTCTGCGCGCGTGTGGAGGCGACTTCCAGGCAGAGGGGGGGGGTCGCCAGCGGGCGGGTGGGCGCAAACAGACGGTCGCCGGGAAGTGACGGACGCGGAGATAAAGCGGAGGGAAGCGGAGGCGCGGGCGTCGCAAGCAAAAGAGAGTGGGGATTCCCTCGCGAGCTATGAAGGCGAAGACGGGCGCATCCAGTCCGAAGCGTCTGGCACCGCGCGGGAGCTGAGGAAGTGGAGAGCGAGTCTCAGCGGGCCCGAGGAGGAGCGCCCGGTGAAGCTCAATGAGCAGCAGCGGGAAGTGGTCGGGAAAGTCGTCAGCAGGATGATAGAGGAGTGCGCGGAGGAGGACTCGGGACGAGTCGGCGGAGAACCTTTATTGTGGATGTTGCACGGGGGGCCAGGGACAGGTAAGAGCTACGTGGTGGACGCTTTGCGGACGCACGTGTTCGAGGGGATCATGAAGTGGAGGCACGGGCTGGATTTCCAAGTGGCGGCACTACAGGCAACGAACGCCTCGGCGCTTGACGGGCATACGTTGCATGGAGCTTTTGGGATGACGCCATTTGCGAGCGGATCGGAGAGCACGAAGAAACGCTGGTCGGACGGGCCGAAAAAGGTGGAGGCTGCCCAGCGAATACAGCAGTGGCGGTGGTTAATCATCGATGAGATCAGCATGGTGAGCGCGAGCTTCCTTGCGGAGTTGGACGCGCATTTGCGTTCGGTCATGTCGGCGGCGCGCCAGGGAAAGGTGGACGCCGAAGGGGTGGACAGGCCTTTTGGAGGGGTGAATGTGTTGTTCTGCGGTGATTTCTACCAGCTCGATCCGCCGGGTGGCGCGCCCTTGAACGCGATCCCGACGTCGTGGGTTCGCAAGGCAAGGCAGTACGCTCCAAGCGCGGGAGAGGACCATGGTCATTGCATATTCTGGGGCGTGGGTCGCGGGTCCGTAGCAGGAATGACCGAGCTAGTGGAGTGCAAGCGGTTGGAAGGTCATGACGAGTGGTTCCTGAGTGTTCAGGACGAGTTCCGGCGCGGGGCTCTGAGCGAACGGACGCACCAGTTTCTGCACGGACGTCCGACGGACGTAGCGGGGTCGTGGGTCGGGGGCGGCCCGACGTGCGGGTCCGAGCAATGCGCGAAGAACGCAGAGGCCATTGCAAGAGACAACGCGCAGGAGTGCGGAGCTTGTCAAGCAGAGCGCCGAAGACGGCAGTTGGTCGCGACGGGGCCGGATGACGAGCGGTTCTTGCTGCCAGAGTTCGTGATGGCAACCGCGATTTATCCGAACCAGGATGTGAAATGCAAAGTCGCGCGCCAGCGTGCCGTGGACTGGGCTGCGAGCGAGGGGAAGCAGATTTCGTGGGTGTACGCGAGAGACGCGGCGCGTCATGGAAGCTTCCAAAAACTGCCATATACGTCTGCTGACAAGATCCGGTGGCTGGGATACCATGACAAAGCATGCGCAGATATGCCCGGGTGGCTGCCGCTGGCGGCAGGCATGCCCGTTGTACTGACGGATCATTTGGATCGGGGAGAGAAACAACTGCTCCGCGGGTGCCATGCGACGATTCACTCATGGGTGGTCGACGAGGACGAGGGTGAGGTCGCGGACGCTGCAGAAGTCACGCTGCGAAGGATGCCGCGGCAGGTCGTTCTCGATTTTCATACGGACGCGTGGACGCTGAAGAGCATGCCGGGGCCTGGCTTATATCCGATAGCGCCGAGACAGCGAGTCTGGTTCTTGGACGCTTACCGAAAGAAGCCCGTGTTGGGGGTTCGGCGGAAGCAGTTTCTGATATCGCCAGGCCTGGCAAGCACGGCGCACGCAGCGCAGGGCAGATCCCTGGACGCCGTCATCGCAGATTTGCAGGAGGGTCGAAATGTGAGTTGGATGTCGAGTTACGTGGCCATCACCCGCGTGAGGACCCGGAGAGGGTTGCTGATATATCGCCCGTTCGAGTTGAAGCCGTACACGCAAGGAGAGCTGGAAGGGACGAAGCTACTGCTGGGCAAGTTACGAGGGGAGGAGGTGCCGTGGGAGGAAGTAGAAGCGAGGCTGATGCCCCGGAAGATGTGCAGGAAATGCAGCACCCTGAGGGAGAAGACTGATTTCACGCCCACGGAGTTCAAGGAGAAGTCGGGGCCGAGCTTCTGTCGCGAGTGCACGGATGCGCTGAAGGAAGCAGGCGAAAAGTGGTGCACCGAATGCCAGGCGTGGGCCTCGTTGGGGCCGAGGGCGCCAGAGGACGAGGCTCGCGGGGGGCGGGTGTACGTAAGGACCAGCAAGTGCGAGAGGTGCGCAGGTCCCGCGGCGGCGCGCAAATCACGGAAGGAGTCGGAAGCGTGGCAGGAGAAGGTGCAGGAGAAGTTCAAGATTCGGTGCGCCAAGTGTAAGAATTTCTTGAAGACGGAGGCGGAAGTGGCGGCGAACCAATACGACACCAAAGGCGCGGGGGAGAAGTTTTGCAGGAAGTGCGCTCGCGACGAGAAGGGCGGGGACAACGAGGTGAATCGCAAGCGAAAAGCAGAGGCGGAAGCGAAGCCGCTCACGCGTGCGGCGTGCGGGGAAGAGCTTTCGGACACGATCCATGTGAAGCATAAACAAGTGAAACATCATCGATCGGCGATCGGAGTCAAAGTGGTGTGCGGAGGCTGCGCGAAACTCGGGTTCACAGCGCGCAGTTGCCAGGCTTATCAGTGCAGCGGCGCGTGCAAGAGAAGACTACCGAAGTCGGCGTTCCCCGACCCTACCAATGTCGCGCGCAACGAAAAGAAGGGCACCCTGAAGTGCAAGACGTGCAAATGATGCCCAGTCGGGCGCGCGTGCTGGGGAGAAAAAAGGATAGCGGGGAAAGAAGGATGGGGGGGGGGGTGAGGCGGAGGATGGGGGGGAGAAGAATCGAAGAGGATGAGGATGAAGCGGGGGAGGAAGAGGAGGAGGGGGACGAGGAGGAGGTAGAGGACGAGGCGGAAGAGGAGGAGGGCTACGTTGAGAGGAGGCCTTGGGTTATGGGTTATGGGTTAGAGGCTTCATGTGTGTGTGTATCGGGCTTTCCCAGCACGCATTTCGGGAATTTATGGTGTGCATTTTTCAAGCAAGTTGAGGGTCTTTTCGTAGCCTCCGGTGAGATTATTGGGGGTTCCTTGGGGCGTCTTCGGGGCGTATTGGGGGGCTCTGGCGGCCTCTTGGAGCACACTTCGGCCCCTCTGAAGCTCCTGGGGGCGAGTAGCACGACTCTTCAAATGTTTCGCCGTTCTCTTAGGCCCCTTTGGGTTCCGTCTTGGAGCTCTCTGGAGCCGTCTTGGGGACCTTTTCGGCCGTCTTGGAGCCATCTTGGGCGGTGTGGGGGCTGTCTTGGGGGCCTCTTGGAACGTTTTGGGGATGTCATCATGGCCTTTAGGGCCGCGTTGGAGCTTCGGGACGCCGAAATGCGCAGAAACAGCAGATTATGAAAAACACGATGGGCAATCCACATTTGTAGCCTTTGGGGGCGCTCTTGGAAAGTTTTTTGGGGACCTCGTGGGCCGTCTTGGAGGCCTTTTGGCCCGTCTTGGGGCCATCTTGGGCCTCTTCGAGGGTTCGTTTGGCGTCTCGGAGCTCTCGTGGGCCGTCATGGAGGCTTAAGAGAAGAGGAGGCGGAGTTAGAGGAAAAGGATGAGGAGGATGAGGATGAGGCGGGCGTGGGAACCGAGGAGGTGGCAGGGAGGATGTGGTGGAGGAAGGAGAGGGGGGAGAGGAGGAGGGGGACACCGAGAGGAGGTTCTGGGTTATGGGTGATTACCTAGAGGCGTCTTGTAGGTGTATTGGGATCCCGCGGCACGCCTGTCGGGGGTCTCTGGGAAGCAGTTTGGAAATCACGGGCGGGCCGAGGTGGAGGAGGAGGGGGGGGGGGGAAGAATAGGAGGAGGGGGGGACAGAGAGGAGGCTGTGGGTTATGAGTTCTGCATTTGAAAGCTGCTCGCATGTGCATCGGGATCTCGCGGCACACCTCTGGGGAGCCTCTGGAAGGCAGTTTCTACGAGGCCGCTTCGGGACCTCCAGAGCTCTTTTGGGGGCCTCTTGGCGATGTCCTCTTGGGGCATTCTGGGGCTCCCGCGGGTTCCCTGGGGCGGAAAGTTAGATTTGTTAAATTGTTGGTCGCTCTGTTCGGCCCCTCTTGGGGCCGTCTTGGAGCGCTCATTGAGAGTATTCGAGGCCTCATGAGCCGTATTGGGGCCATCTTGGTTTGTCTTGGGGCCGTTATGGGTGCCTTTTTGGCCGTTTTGGGGCGGTCTTCGGGCCTCATTGGGCCGCTGTGGAGCGTGGGAAAGCCAAAAAAAGCGAAATGGACAGACGCATCGACAAACATAATTGAAAATTGAAATTTTCAGCCTCTCGGACCCCTCTGAACTTCTTCGGGACCTCTTGGGCCGTCTTGGAGGCCTCTTGGGCTGTCTTGGGGACATCGTGGGCGTCTTGGAGAGTTCTTTTGGCGTCTCGGGGCTCTCGTGGACCGTCTGGGAGGCCTCTGGGGGCCTTCTGGGCCCGTCTTGAGCTCTCCTGGGCCCGGAAGCGCCCCGTGGTGCGCTCGTTCTGGACCTCCCCCCCCCGCTCTAAATCGATCAGATTGAGTTCCCGGGGGAAGGGTTTGAGGAGAAGAGGAGGAAGAGGAGGTGGAGAAGGAGGAGGAGCAGGAGGAAATTGAGGAGGAGGTTGAGGAGGACCACGACAATGACGAGCAGGAGGGGGACGAGGAGGAGGAGCACAAAGAGGAGGAGGAGGAGTAGGAGAACGACCGCGCGATGTAGTGTCCTGCATAGCATTTTGTGGTGCAGCAGCGGCACTCCTTTGTTTGCGGTTGTTGAAACGGGGCCCCGACACCGAGAACCAAGTACGATGGCCGGTGTCGCGCGCCGAGGCCGCGGAAAGGGGGGCGCCGGCAAGAGTGCCGGCAAGAATGGCGGGAAGGCCTCAGTCCAAACCTTGAGCATTGCTGAACTGCCTGTCGGCGCGGACACCATGCTGGCGAATTTGTCGCCGGCCACCATCCGCTACACCACCCAGGTCAAGGTGATCGGGCACTTCCTCGATTGGTCGAGCAAGAACGGCTCAATCCTTCGGACCATCAGGGGTGATGAGGAGGGGATTGATCGTTCAGTAGTTGGCGAGGGCAGATAGCTCGTTACGTTTTTTCTTCGCATTTCCCCCCTGGAATCGTGATGGGCCCTTTCAGGCGGCCCTGGTGCCTGCATGTCCGTGTCGGGTCCTTTTGGTTCGTCTCGTTGCTGCCTTCCGAGCCCCGTGGAAGTTGAGGGGACGGCATGGCCAGCCCCTGTGGAAGTCCTGGGGCGCTGGGAAACTGAACCGCCGAAGAAACAAAACTTTCCAAACGGACTTCATATTCAAGTTGTCGTGGCTCCCGGGTTTTCTTCGAAGAGGACCCATGGAACCGCTCGTTTGCCGTTCCCGTGGCCATGGGCGCAGAGACGGATCCAAAGTGAACTGTTGCGCGTTTTCCGCCAGAGAGAGAGTTCCGCCGCGTCGCCCCGCCAGGAAGCTGCTTGTCCGAGACACTGCGAACACCACCATGGGGTTGAAGACGTTTCGACTGCACCCCGTCAATTCCGTGGCCGTGGGAACAATTCTTTCCATCAAGAATGTGGACGTCACCGAGTACCAAGGAGTTAGGGAGCTAGTGGTGTCGAGTTTGGAACTTAATGTCCGGCCCGGCGGGGGGGCCATCGAGCGCGCCACGAGAGTTTGCTCGAGGATGGGGGTTGCGCTCTGGTGGTGGCACACCATGTGATGAGGAGGCTGTGGGGGCCAAGTGTGATGAGGATGTTGTGGGGGAGGGAGAGGCGGTCGTTTGGCGATGGCCCTGGTGTGTGTGGCGTATCAGTAGGATTCCGTCAGCATGTGGGGGCGCGCGCACACTCTCTGGGGCTGTCGACGACGACGACGACGGCGACGATGACGACGACGATGACGACGACGACGACGACGACGACGTCAAAGAGCACGACGACGATCACGACGTCACCCGACGACGGCGCCCAACGACGACGACGACAACGACGGCGACCTTGAGGGGTGTTGGGGATCCTCGGAATCCTGAGGATCCCTCCGCAGAATTCTCAACGTCGTTGAACGACCCCCGATGCTGTCGACAACGACGGCGAGGACCGCAAGGATCTTCGGGCCCCCCCTCAAAGGTTTCTGGAGCCCGTGGCGCACTGTCCGAAGGACCCGACGAATGCGACGACGATGACAACAACGACGACGACCGACGACGACGACGACGATGACGACGACGACGACGTCGGCGTCGAAGACCCCCAATGCTCTCAAGAGGATTGGAAGGCCTTTGGAGGCTTTCGGGGACGTCAGCACGTGTTCCGGACCCGACCACAACGACGACGACGGTATCGATTTGGACGACAACGACGACAACGACGACGAAGAGTTGTTGGGTGTCATTTTAGTTGTTGGATTGATGGAGGCGGCGGTTACACAGGTGTTGTAGTGGACAGCCGAGGCGAAGGCGGAGTCGGGATTGTTCCCGACGACCACGCAGAGCAGTTCGTCGACGACTGGTGCGAGGCCTGGTGCTTGGAGGAGGCACAGGCCGAACAGGACCCCAATCGTTCCGCATTCCGCAAGCGTGTTTGTGCAAGTCCGCGAGGGGGCACCGGTGGATGTGTGTTGTGAGGATGAGGGGTACGTCCCTGGGGGGGCGGGGGGGTGGCACAGAGGACGGCTTGTTCACCGTCCTCGTCACCTTGCGGTCGGTGGGAGACCCTGTTCAGAGCGAGAAGGGCAGGTGGGTGAGGACGTTCGAGGCGTCAGATCCGACGGGGACGATGAAGTTGAAGCTCTGGGATGAGCCGCCCGGGGTTCGAATCGTCGTCGTCGTCGTCGCGGGCGTCGCCGCCGTTGCCCCACCACTCATTCGACCGTGGCTTCCACGTGATTGCGCCAAACATGGACCCGATATATCTCGCCGTTTCATTTCTGCCTTTGGTTTCCGTGCCTTCTCACGTGATCCCGGATTGTGGGCGGGGCTAGTTTGCCAGCGACTGTGTTCACAGACGGTAAGCTCGAGGAAAGAACAGACCGAATTGAACACCAGAACCATCTGGTAACCCTTCCGCTGCCGTTGCAGGACTCGTCATTCCCATTTACGAACATCCCGTTTACACCGTTGACGCTCTCGGCGACCAAAATATTCTTTTTCGCAGTCGTGCCACCGCCCCTTTGTCTTGAGTATCCAGAGTACCCGGCACACCGCCAGACAAACCACCAACGCAATACCATTCGCACCGCTAGCCTCGCCATCAGCCACACCGTTCTGATGCCCAGGTTAGCATTGGCCGAGTATGGCGTGGACGAGGTCGTCTTGCACAATGTCCGTCGCTATGGCGGCGCCCTTCACGGGTGGCCGGGCGTTCTCCTGGTTCAGTCGGCGGCCGAGCCGAGAACACCCGCAGAGGCGTTGACGGAACACGTCCACCACGTTTCCCTTCTTCGGCCCCCCCTATCGCGCTCCCCCTTCTTCTCACGCTTCCCCGTCGCCTCCTCCTCGTCCCTCCTCCTCCTGCCCGCGCCGGGTCTTTCCTTCCCTATTCGCTGCCCCTTCTCCTCCTCCTCCGTCCTCCTCATTCTCCTCCTCTGCATCTTCCCTCCCCCCTCCCCCCCTCATCCTCCTCCTCCCCCATCCTCCGCCTCTTCCTCCTCTCCTTCTCCTTCTCCTCCTTCTCTTCCTCCTCTTCCGTCTCCTTCTCCTCCTTTTCTCACGCCTGTGAAGGCATTGGCCGCTGCTGCGCCGGCCGCGCCCCAGGCGGCGTTGGTCGCTGCTGCACCAGCCGCGCCTGTGGAGGCGTTGGGCAGCACAACGTCTCAGACAGCCCGTGGTGTTCTTCCTCGGGGTCCAGGGGTCCAGTTGAGAAAGCTCCAAATCGGGGATCGGTGGGGCGTCGCCGCCTCGGCGCCCGCCCCCGCGTGCCCCGAAGCGGTGTAGTGGGGGCCACCGGGCAGTGCGACACAGTTCCGAAGGACGACCCTCTTGGTGTTGAGATGGTGGTGCCGTCGTCATAGGTGTTCCAGCTTTCTTGGGGCCGCCTTGGGGCTGTTTTGGGACGCGACGATGGAACGACAGCATTTTCGGGCCAGTTCGCGACGACGCCGACGGTGACTGGGGCGAGGTACACGAGGAGGACGACGACGACGATGACGACGACGACGACGGCGATGACAACGACGATGACGACGACAACGACGACGACCACTGATGTTTTGGATCCGAGGGAGGTCCGGGGACTCATGTTCGCCGGGGTTTCGCCGCCCGAGGACCGACCACCGACGAGCGACGACCGACGACCGACGACGACGTCGTCGACAAGGACGACGATGCGACGACGACGACGACGACGACGACGACGACGACGACGTACGACGTTCGACGTTCGACGGCGACGGCGACGGCGACGCCGACGAACGACGAGGCGGTCGGTCCCAGCGATGCGGTCCTGTTGCTCACCCAGTACGCCACTGTGCCTTCCTGTCGCTGCTTCTTCAGGCGACAACCACGAAGGGCCGAGGTGCTTTCTACAGAGCCTGTATCTGTCCGGAGCGCAAGCCTCTGGCAGCTGCAGGTCCCGCGCGCTCTGTCCCGACACGTCGGTCGGGGACACAATTCAACGCGAGCCAGTTCGGGGGGATTCCAGTGGTCCCCCGTTCCTCTCTTCTGCCTCCGACCAACCCCGGAGGAGAAGGAGGAGGAGGGAGGAGGGAGAGGGAGGAGGACGACGAGGAGGAGGGAGGGGGGGGGAGGAGGAGGAGGAGGTGATAAGGAGCAGGGGAAAGGAGGAGGAGGAGGAGGAGGAGGAGGAGGAGGAGGAGGAGGATGAGGAGGGAGATGAGGAGGGAGGAAGGGGGAGGAGGGAGGAGGAGGAGGGAGGGGGTGGAGGGTGGAGGAGAGGGGGGGAGGAGGAGGAGGGGGGAGGACGGAGGAGGGAGAATAGGGAGGCGGAGGGAGGAGGAGGAGGAGGAGGCGGAAGAGGGCGGATGAACGAAGATTCATGGAAAGGGTTGGTGTCGATGATGATTTTGATGATGATGATGATGATGATGATGATGATGATTATGATGGTGATGATGATGATGATGATGATGATGGTGATGCTCTCAACGTTGGCCCCGAGTTGTCTGAACGTCCTTCCCGGAGGACGAACAGAGCGAAAAACTTTTGTTTGATTTTTCCTAACGCGTCGCCACGGCCAGACGCGGCTCGAAAGACTGATGTTTTGGATCCGAGGGAGGTCCGGGGACTCATGTTCGCCGGGGTTTCGCCGCCCGAGGACCGACCACCGACGAGCGACGACCGACGACCGACGACGACGTCGTCGACAAGGACGACGATGCGACGACGACGACGACGACGACGACGACGACGCACGACGTTCGACGTTCGACGGCGACGGCGACGGCGACGCCGACGAACGACGAGGCGGTCGGTCCCAGCGATGCGGTCCTGTTGCTCACCCGGTACGCCACTGTGCCTTCCTGTCGCTGCTTCTTCAGGCGACAACCACGACGGGCCGAGGTGCTTTCTACAGAGCCTGTATCTGTCCGGAGCGCAAGCCTCTGGCAGCTGCAGGTCCCGCGCGCTCTGTCCCGACACGGCGGTCGGGGACACAATTCAACGCGAGCCAGTTCGGGGGGATTCCAGTGGCCCCCCGTTCCTCTCTTCTGCCTCCGACCAACCCCGGGGGAGAAGGAGGAGGAGGGAGGAGGGAGAGGGAGGAGGACCACGAGGAAAAGGGAGGAGGGGGGAGGAGGAGGAGGAGGGGTGATAAGGAGCAGGGGAAAGGAGGAGGAGGAGGAGGAGGAGGAGGAGGAGGAGGAGGAGGAGGGAGATGAGGAGGGAGGAAGGGGGAGGAGGGAGGAGGAGGAGGGAGGGGGTGGAGGGTGGAGGAGGGGGAGGGAGGAGGAGGAGGGGGGAGGACGGAGGAGGGAGGAGAGGGAGGCGGAGGGAGGAGGAGGAGGAGGAGGAGGAAGAGGGCGGATGAACGAAGATTCATGGAAAGGGTTGGTGATTTTGATGATGATGATGATGATGATCATGATGATGATGATGATGATTATGATGGTGATGATGATGATGATGATGATGGTGATGCTCTCAACGTTGGCCCCGAGTTGTCTGAACGTCCTTCCCGGAGGACGAACAGAGCGAAAAACTTTTGTTTGATTTTTCCTAACGCGTCGCCACGGCCAGACGCGGCTCGAAAAACTGATGTTTTGGATCCGAGGGAGGTCCGGGGACTCATGTTCGCCGGGGTTGCGCCGCCCGAGGACCGACCACCGACGAGCGACGACCGACGACCGACGACGACGTCGTCGACAAGGACGACGATGCGACGACGACGACGACGACGACGACGACGACGACGACGACGTACGACGTTCGACGTTCGACGGCGACGGCGACGGCGACGCCGACGAACGACGAGGCGGTCGGTCTCAGCGATGCGGTCCTGTTGCTCACCCGGTACGCCACTGTGCCTTCCTGTCGCTGCTTCTTCAGGCGACAACCACGCCGGGCCCAGGTGCTTTCTACAGAGCCTGTATCTGTCCGGAGCGCAAGCCTCTGGCAGCTGCAGGTCCCGCGCGCTCTGTCCCGACACGGCGGTCGGGGACACAATTGAACGCGAGCCAGTTCGTTGGAACAGAATGCTCTGATTTCGTCGTCCCCTTCCTTCCCCGCTTCCCCGCCCCATCGTTTCTGCCCTTTGCCAGGGGTATGCTGAAAGGTTTTTTTTGGTTGCTTCGCCTTCGTGGCCTTTGCGGCCCCTTCGGGGCCACCTCCGTCGTCATCCTCGTCGTCGTCGACGTTGCAAAAGGGACAATCAGCCCGCGAGCTCTATGGCCTTAGAGCCCCATAGCCCTATAGCCCTATAGCTCTGGGGCCATATAGCCTTATGGTCCGAGAGCCCTGTAACTGCACAGCCGCATGGCACTGTAGCCTTTATAGTCTTAAAGCTTTTGACCCACAGAGCCCTATAGCACCATAGCCACATAGACCCATAGCCCTAATATCCTCATAGCCTTAGGGTCGTAAAGCCCTAAAGCGCTAGAACCTTAGAGCCCGTCGGAGGCGCGCCCCCCCAGCAGCTCAGCGGCCTCTGGCGGTGCCGCGCCCGTGCCGGCCGAGGGCAGGATCCCCCTGAGCGGCCAGGTCGGCAGCACCGATGTGGCGCCGGTTCGCGAAGGCGCCGCCGCCGCCACGGCGGCACCTCCGGAGCTCCGGGGAGGCGCCTCGGCCGGCGCGTCGGCGCCAGCGCTGGGTACGCCCCAGGGCGTTGCGGGCGCGGCTTCGGCGGCCGGCGAACCCACGGGCTCCGCCGCGGAGAGCGGCGCGGACGCCGAGGAGCGCGGGGTCATTGTTGGGGGTGCTCGTGGCCACAGTTATTCGGAGAGCGTCAGCCCGACAACCTTCACCAGTCGTGTCCAGTCCGAGCTCGGGCCCACGGTCGGTGCATTTGCCTTCCTGTCCTGGCCCGACCGATCTTGGGCCCAGGATCGGATATATGAACGTAGCTGATTTTGCCAGGATGGCATGTACACCGTCTCGGGCGTTTGAGCCGTCTAGCCAGGACCAGCGTGGGTGCATAGCTGGGGCCCTTGGATGACGAGGAGGACGACGACGACGACAACGACGACGACTTAGACGACGACGACGGCGACGGCGACGGCGACGACGACAGCAGCGGCGACGACGAAGCCGACGACGACGACGACGTCGAGGACGACGATGACGACGAAGATGACGACGACGACGACGAGGACAACGACGACAACGAGCCCGCGCCGAGGCCGTTGGCGTGGCCGTGGCCCAGAGGCCACCACCGTCGCAGCAGACCGCCGCTGCTGCAGAGGACGCGGCGAGCGCGTCGGAGACGCGCCCCCCCAGCAGCCCGGCGACGTCCGGCGGGCCCGCGCTTGTGGCGAAGCGTCGCAGGACGCAGTGAGACCGGCAGACGACTGTAAGCTCGAGGTTAGAGTTGCCTGAGCACTCTGTTCTGCCCGGGGGTGGTCGACATCGTCGTCGTCATCGTCGTCGTCGTTTTCGTCGTCGTGGTCATTGTTGTGGTCGTGGTGGACGTCGTCATCGTCGTCGTCGTCGTTGTCGTCGTCTGCTGCGTCGTCGTCGTCGTCGTCGTCGTCGTCGTCGTCGTCGTCGTCGTCGTCGTCGTCGTCGTCGTCGTCGTCGTCTTCGTCGTTTTCGGCATTTCCGGGGTGCCACTGTGCATACATGTCGTTCTCTCTTCAGGCAGCTCTGCCACGAGTGTCCCAAGTGCTTTCTACAGCGCCTGTCTCTGTCCGGAGCGCAAGCCTTCGGAGAGGCAGGGCATGCGAAACCTGCCGTTGCACGACGGCGGGCTGTCGTTCTCTCTTCAGGCAGCTCTGCCACGAGTGTCCCAGGTGCTTTCTACAGAGCCTGTCTCTCTCCGGAGCGCAAGCTTTCGGAGAGGCAGGGCATGCGAAACCTGCCGTTACACGACGGCGGGCAAGTAGTTTACGAAGTGTAATATTGGAATGCGCTGACGCCGCGGTGGGTGCAGCGGCGCCGACGCCGAGCCTGCGTCGCTTGCGCCATTCGTCTCGCCGGCCTCGGCGGCGCCCTTGTCGGCCACACCCTCCGGCTTTTGTCCGCCATCGGGGTGCTCTCCTGAGGAAGAAGGGGATTGGGAATCATGTTGTGGAGGGTGTGGAGTGGGACTCACGGCGCGGAGGGGTGGGGGGCAGGGGTGGGGGAGGGATCTCGCTGATCTGCCTGTGCACGTTCGCGGAGCCGTCTCCTTGTCTGCACGCGGCGCCAGTTACCTCCTACAGCGCCCATCGCTGCGCGGAGCACAAGCCTTCGGCAACGGGACGACACGCGCAACACTCCCGCCGTAACCGAGCGGTGTGTGAGAAAAGGCGCTGCGGGGCTGAGGCCGCGTCGTGGCGTCGTCGCCGCCGCCGTTTTCTGGCAAGTGCAGCCTCTGCGGGCCATGGTCGAGCTCCAAAACCGCCAGGAGTCGATTGAGTGCCAGAACGCTCATCTGGCGAAAGAAACGTGGGAAAAAGGCCTCGGGATTACTTTGAATGGATATTGGGACTCTGGAGTCGTCGCCGTCGTTGTCGTGCACGTCGTGGCCGCCGTGACCCATGCTGCCAGTGGATTGCACGCGTAATCATGAAGGTGTGGATATTGGCCACGGGTCTCTCCGTTCGCAAACAATGCCCCCCTCCTGCTTCACACCCTCCGTTTCCCTCTTCCTGCTCCCCTCCTCCGCCTCACGAGGCCCCTGGCGTCTTGCAAGTACTGGGGCACCCCAAGAGTCGCGACCTGTTCCTCGGGATTGACTCCTCATCGGCGCCCGCAGTCTTCCCGTCGCGTTCCCATGCCCTAGAACTGTCCCCCGGGAAGCAGACAGCGGCGAACACCAGGCGTGTAGATGTGATCCAGTACGTGTGAAGTGCACGCCCTCCTGCTCCTCCACCTTGCGCCTGCGAGGCCAACCTGCGAGTTGCGACAGGCGGCGACGCACGGCTCGAGTCGTCCTCCTTGGGATGCTAGGGAGGGGGTGACAGTGGAAGTCGAGGGTGCAAATCAGAGGGGTCTCGGCGCCGTCGCTGAAGGACGGGGAGAGAAGGATGGGAGGTGAGGCGGAGAGTGGGAGTGAGGAGAATCGAGGAGGATGAGGCGGCGGAGGGGTAGGATTAGGTGGAGGAGGATGAGGATGAGGAGGTGGTTGGCCTCTCGGAGGGGACCTCTGGGAGGCAGTTTTGGGGCCTCACATGGGCCTCGCAAGGGAACGACGGGGGAGGAGGGGGCAGAAGGGGAGGAGGAGGAGGAGGAGGAGGAGTAGGAGGAGGAGGAGGTGAAGGAAAACGGGCGGGAGCAGGAGGGGGAGGAGGAGGAGGAGGAGGAGAAGGAGGAGGGGAAGGCGGAGGAGGAGGAGGGGGAAGAGGAGGAGGAGGAGGAGGAGGAGGAGGAGGAGGAGGAGGAGGAGGAGGAGGAAGAGGAGGAGGGAGGAGGACGAGGAGGTCTCGGAAGCAGTTTTGAGGCTTCTCGGGAGGCGTTTTGGCGCCTGTTGGGGCCTCTTTTGGGCCTCTTGGGGGCTTCTTCGGGGCCTGTTTGGGGCTTCCTGGTAGGCTTCTGAAGCTCCTTGCGGCTTCTTGGGGGCCTCTTGGGGCTTCCTGGAAGCCTCTTGGCGCGGAAGACTCGGATTTTCGGTTTCTGGTCCCCCTCTTCACCCCCTCTTGGGCTCGTCTTGGGAGCCTTTTGGGCCGTCTGGGGCGGCTCTTGGGCCGTCTTTGGGCCCTCTCTGGCCGTCTTGGGGCCGTCTTGGGAGACTATTGAGCCGTCTTGGGGCGGTTTTGGGAGCTTCTTGGGCCGTCTTGGAGCGTCGGAAAGCCGAAAGGGCGAGAAGGCCCCCTTCCTTCAAAAACCAATGGAAAATCAACGATTTTGGCTTCTTGGGCCGCTCCCAAGAGGCCTCTTGGGGACCTCTTGGGCCGTCTTGGAGGCCTCTTGAGCTGTCTTGGGCACACCTTGGGCGTCTCCGAGCGCTCGTTTGGCGTTTCGAGGCGCTCGTGGGCGGTCTTGGAGGCCTCTCGGGGCATTCCTGGGCGGTCTGTAGCCCCTCTTGGGACCGAAAGAGCCCCATGACGCGCTCGCCTCTTGGGACCGAAAGAGCCCCATGACGCGCTCGCGGTCGACCCCCCCCCCCCCCCTCCAAATCGACCGGACCAGGCTCCCGGGGGAGGGGTTTGGGGAGGGGGGCGAGGCGCTCGTGGGCGGTCTTGGAGGCCTCTCGGGGCATTCCTGGGCGGTCTGTAGCCCCTCTTGGGACCGAAAGAGCCCCATGACGCGCTCGTGGCCCACCCCCCCCCCCCCTCCAAATCGACCGGACCAGGCTCCCGGGGGAGGGGTTTGGGGAGGGGGAAAGCATCTCACACGCCGATGATCCCCAAGGGGTCGGCGGATTCCAATGATATTGAGGCTGAGTCGCGGGGTCATGATGCCCTTGGTACTGGTCCCGTCGACTCCACCGAGGGAGGTGACGATGATACGCGCAGGGTCCTTGCGCCATCAGATCATCATCAGAGAGCGTTATGTCTGACCTTCCCGAGCGCGAGGAATATGTTCATAGTGCAGATGCGGGAGAAGAAAGAAGATATGCCCAGCGGATTTCCCAGGCAGGACGTGGGTCACGGTGGTTTTGCCGCCCGTCCCATGTCACTTAGTGCCAACATCGCTAACCAGGACAGATAGGAGGAACCGGGAGACCCACGCGATGTGAGATCAGATTTGCCTTCGACCCCCGTAAGGTCACAGAATTATGACTGGGAGCTATCGCGCGCCTCGGCGCACAGCTCTGAGTAAGAAAGAACATCGATGAGCGGGTCCTCGGCGAGGGAAAGGGCCAGGAGAATTTGCGTCTGTTGCTAGGTCAACTGCATCCACCGAGAGCCGGATGTCCGTCGGAAAAAGATGCTGATGGTGTGTAAGAATTGATGATCGATTTTCATGCACTGCAACATCAGCTTCCGACTTAGCGAGTGCATTGAGCAAACAGGACACAGCTGCTACGCCATGAGACAAGCCGCATGGGAAGTTGGTCAACAACAGGAGGCAGCCATCGCGCTGGTTCAGACGCAAGAGCGACTTGAAGGATAGACCCGTCAGATGAAGTGCAATCATAACGAACGAATTGGCTGCAAAAAGCCAGGCGGGGGTTGAACTGAAGGCTGCCGAATATCGAGCGAAGGCCGCAGAAGCACCCGAGATGAAAGCCCGCTTGGGCGCAGAGCGTCGCCTGAAGGATGTAGAGAACAATGTGCTTCCCGACCGAATGAAGGAAATTGAGGAAGGAGAGAGCCCGCTGCGGGGGGACGCGAAGAGCAAAAGGGCGGGGGGCCAACTTAAAGTCCACCCCCCGCTTCCGCAGGGGGGGGGGCTTTCGAAGCTACCCCCCTCCCCTCAGCAACCTGGGAAACTGAGGAGGGGGGGGCATTCGAAGTTCCCCGCCGTCGCCCTTTGGCGCCGGGGCAAGCTCGGGCTGCCCTGTGCAAAAAGGGCGGGGGGCTTCGGAAGATAATTCCCTCCCCCACCCCTCCTTGCTGTAGGGGGAGGTCGGAAGCTCTGCCCTTTTTCGGGGGGTTCTAATGCAAGCCCAGGCTTAGCTTTCTGGGGGGAGGGGGCTTCTGGACATACCTCCCCCCCTTTCCCTTTGCGAAGCTGGGAGTTGCGCGGGCTCGGGGGGGGGGCGGGGGCCCGAAACTAACCCCCGCCCTTCCGTTTCTCAGGGCCGCGGGCAATCCTGGGCTTACCAGTGCCAGGGGGGAGGGGGATTGCGAACCCTTCTCCCCCCTCTG